AAACGATCAAGTCTGTCTCTGATTTCATGTTGGATCTCTACGCGAAAAATGCTGAGCCCGCGCGACTTAGAAACGCGGACCAACCCGTGTTTGAATCGGATATGATTAAAAGTTTCGCCAACTCGCCGAGAAAAGGCAGGCATTTACGTCATCAAAAAGAGCGTACTTTTTTCTTCGATATTCAAATTTCAACGGGGGAGTACATCAAAGCGGCGGAGTTTCGGATCTACAAAGAAATCTCGCGGGAATTGACGAACGGGACGTTTACGTTGAATTTGTACTCTCTAACCTTAGGCGAAGGCAGCGAAGGGATAAAGGAGCTACAAGCTTCATTGAGAGTAGATTGGAATACGGAAGGATGGATTGTGATGAAGGCGACTGAGTGTGCTCAGTTGTGGTCACATTTTCCGCACTCAAATATGGGACTTTACGTTGAGTTATCGAAACAGGAAGGTCTAAACTATACTTTAAAGGACATAGGTGTCATCGATAGTAAAGGACCTTCGGAAAAACAGGCGTTTTTGGTGGCTTACATGGGGGTGTGGCAGGAAAGAAGATCAAGGAAGAAACGACAGGTCACGCTGACTCAAAGTACAACGACACCAACACCGTACATCGACAGCAACGGATTTTCCGAGTTCACGCAGTATAAATGTCAGAGAAAACAATTTTATTTAGACTTCCGAAGCATTGGGTTGGACAGTAAGTTGATTATCGCCCCTGAGGGGTACTTCTCGAACTTCTGCGCAGGAGAGTGCGCGTATCCCATGAGCGCGCAGCTCAACGCCACCAACCACGCCATTGTTCAGACACTGGTGCACATGCTGAAACCGGAACTGGTGCCGCGGCCATGTTGCGCCCCGACGCAGTACGACAGCATCACCATGTTGTACTACGACGGGATGAGCGTGGTGATGAGGAAGGTGAAAAACATGATCGTGCGGTCTTGCGGCTGTCAGTGAAAGACGAACGGGCAACGCACCTGAGATATTTAATGGCGTATGCTCTAAACGAGAGAAAAAAAAGGGCATATTGATCAAACAAGCACACCTGGTTCAAAACAAAAATGTGCAGATAAACCAAGCCTTCAGTACCAAGTGGTTTCAGTACTCATCGCTAAGCCGATCATTAAGCGCTAAAAGTAATTCAGCACCTGTCCATAATTAAGCGCGAAAAGTAACCCAGCACCAAAATCGATGATAAGCGCTAAAGTGAATCAGCAACTAAGTCGATGATAAGCACTAAAAAAAAAAATTCTGCACAAATTTGATAACCAAGGCGCAGTAATCAAAGTACAAATTCTGCACTGTACCCGATGCATGAAGAAAATGCCAGACTACCCAGATAGTACTCACGGCCCAGGCGATATTTGAACCAAGAACTTGGTCAAAATATATTTTAAACGAGTTGAACTGTAGATGTGAAAAAGTATGACAAAATGTGTCAGTAGAAACAATGAATATGTGTCATCAGGAAAATTATGACTGTGTCACTTGTAAGACCATGACTATATGTGCCATTAGAAAAAAACTACATATGTCATTAGATTAATGACTCATTAGAAAAGGCCATGACTCTATATGCCATTATAAAACCCATGACTATAAGAGTCATTATAAAAACTCATTACTATATGTATTAGAAAAGCTATGACTATATGAGTCATTAGAAAAGCCATGATTATATGTATTAGAAAAACTATGACTATGTGTAGTTGCTCAACATGGATAATATTTATTGCGGTGTTGCCCTTATGTTGTGTTTATACTGTCCACATACGGTGACCTCATGTGATACTATGTAAAACACCATATGTGTGTGTGTACGTGTGTTTATATCCATGTATTTTTGTGAGTTTGATTCTTTGTAAAACACCATCAGAGAATGTGTATGAGTGTCTGTGTGTTTATATAGATATACTAATGTGTGTATCGATGTATTTGAGTGAGTAATATAAGAGTAAATCCCCAACCCACCCCCCCCCCCCCTGCCATCACACATACTGATTTTTATATATAAGAAATAACCACTATGTAAGAACGACATCTATTACAAAATGTAGACGTTCAAAACCATGTTTAATGTAAGAATTTAGAGTTCATCCCACAAAGAATTTTTTTTTTAATCTGAACAATCATTACCAGCTGGACTACGTGAACTGTTTTTATTGCCGTAAGCGGCAACCCTTTTGTTGTACCACATTTAGATATACCACCCTTAGCCCCCCCCCCCTCCCATCTCCCCACCCCGCGCGCGTCCCCAAACACCACATTTCCTAACAAACATTACTTCCCCTTTTACCTTGCTGCCTCGGGCGTTGAAGTTGAACAACAATGGCTGCGTTCAGGTAAAGAAAACGAAAACAGCCTCGTTGTCCCGTTTAATGGTTGCGTCAGATCACTCGACAGTTCAAAAAATATTTTATTTTATCTCCTTGGTCTTTCCTAAAGCTTGAAGTATTAATTGGCAATATTTATTTGTTTGTAAAAAAAATATTTATCTCTTTCGAAAAGCAAAGTATTTTTTTTTTCAATTTCAACTCTTAAATCCAATTCTAAATAATGTCTTGAAGTTTAAAAAAAAAGTTATTATAATAACCCCATATTGACTAATAAAATTGTTTATACTATCTATACAGAAAATTGTAAAGTTATAGAATTGATATATAGTGTGTAAAACATGTACACATCGATGCCTTATTTATTACAAGATTATGTTGTCTACATTACATAATGTAACCTTACATTATCGAAATATTGTACATATATTTATCTTTATTGTAATATGTTGACCTCCAATGAGTGTTACTAAATTAAATAATTTGTATCCATTCTTTTGCTTGTTTGTTTCGTTAAGTTGATCATGGTTAGTTTGTTTTTAGTTTTTAAAAAAGTAAAAACATTTTAAATTTAAAGAAAAAGAACAATTCAATTAGCATCTATCAAATTCGCAATTTCTTCATTTATATTATAAAACAAACATCTGATGACCCGTAAATTGTGTTACACACAAGCGATGCAGTTTTTAGCGGAAGGAGGGTCTTGCTTGTTGTGACAAAGGGTGGGGGAAGGGAATGGGCTTTGTAAAAGGCTAAAACTGCCGAAAAATATACAGCGCTTAAGATCGCCACATTTAAAAAAAAAAGAATAACGTATGTTTCCATATCATCAGAACCGCTGTAGTTGTTGTAAGTGGTGGTTAAATAAATATACTAAACCCAAAGTAACCAACCTAGTTTTTTATCTACCATCTTGAGATATATAGCTTTTAGATACCACACAACACGTTCGTAGCTAAATTGAATGTTTAATTCTTAGGTTTGGTAGTATTGAAAAGAATATTTATAATGTATTGAGTCGACAAAATTAAGACAAGAAAAATTAAAACTATTTAGACAATGTTTTAAAATATGGACCTATTATGAACGTTTAGAATTACGTTCAATTTTTTTTTGCCAACATTATTCCTAAACTTGAAACATTTTACTAAGTGCATGCAAATTTGAATACATATTTAGCCAACAATGTTGCTAAACCTGGACACAGCTAGTAAAACGGAGGAGTACGTATAAGGCACGGACGTCCAAAATAAAAACTGCGAAGCGGGGTCATTAAAGCCGTTGAACGTAACAGGGGTCGGTTGACCAAAGTGGTTCTCCTTCAACATGGCATCGTATCTGTCTTTGGGGATGTATCCCTGGGCCCCTAACAAGTGACTTTCTTTGGGGATCTTTGTCCAGTCTTCGATGGCCGTCCCGTTGAGGTACTCGAATCTGTTAGCGGGAAACGAGTATGGGATTGACTGGAGAAGAAAAAAAAAATGGACTTTTATTTATTGGAGTTAGATACAGTGGGCTTATAGTGTGGTATTGCTTGTTCTTTAAGGTACCTTAGTAAGTCTATCTTGTCTGTAATAAAAGTACGTTAGATTCAATAAAATGCTAAACTATTTAAAACACGTCAACCAATAATTGGTGTTCTAACTAACAGTAGCTAAACATGCTTAAGGGCATGCAAGACAGTTTTCTAAAAACAAACTATTTCGTTTAAATAATAAACCGGGAGTGATCTCCCCTAAACTTTCTCGAATATTCTTATATAAAATAACAGGGGATGGGAACTCGGGCTATAGACATGATTTTTAATCCATTTTAAATACTTAAAGTTTTAAAAATAGAATAAAATCTCGTAGACAAATTAATTGCACACCAAGTGAACGTGAAATAAAAAAGCGCATAATAGTGCGCAATATTATTATTACTTTTAAAATTTACATTAGTTTTTTGAGAAATCGGAAGTAGCGTAAAGTACTACTTCCAGTCAACGGAAATGACTCAAAATTTAATAGAAGGTAGAGAATTAGATCTTTTACTTACGTATGAAATTTCATTTATCTATCTGAAATAGTACTCAAGTTATAGGCTTTTGAAAAATTCAAAGTAGGAAAAGTACCACTTCCGGTTATCGGAAATCGCTCAAAAGTTGATACGGATCTACGATTTTGATTAAATACTTATATATGAAATTTCATCAACCTAGCTGTAACGGTACTCAAGTTATCGTGTTTACACACGGACACACACACACACAGACACACACACACACAGACACACAGACATACGGACAAGATTGCAAAATTATGTTTTTCCGTATCAGTGAGATGCAAAACGTCGAGATTTGCAAAAATCTCGATTTTTTTTTTTTGCACGATTACAAGACTTTCTCTATACTTCGTATATACGAGAAAGTAAAAATGTGCTTATACTTGTACTGGAAATTCCTTTACCAAATGATATCAGGTCCGAAGAAAAAATGGCGATTGAATGCCGCTGACACTTATCATTAGATATGATTAGATATCATTGGTCCATACGCGCTTACCACATTTTACTAATTAAGTTCAGTTTTACTTAAGCCTTTTTGCAAAAGTAAGGAACATTAATGGATCATTTTACATCACTGAGACCCTTTAGCCGGGGGGATAAAACTCAGTGTATTTTTGCTACTAGTAAAGTTGAATTTAAAAAAGGGCTTAACTATTTTTTTTTTACCAAAAGTGTATTTAATAAGCTCTTTTCATTTGGCCTCCTCACAAGAATATTTAAATGAAGGGCTCATGTTATACAAAGTACAGGTAGCTTTAATTTAGAGCCTGAGCTGTTTCCCAAAGTACTGTCCTTACCCCACAGCTTAGATAACTGACAAAAGTAATACGTGACAGCGAGTTTGTATCACTGGCTCTAGTTCCGGGGCCCATGTTACTCTCTCAAGTCGGGGAAAGTAATGATTTAGCATAATGCTAAATAAGAACTTAGCATAGTGCTGATTATCTCGTCCAGTGGCAAGATTAAGGACTTAGCATAATGCTGACTTTCAGGTCCAGTGGCAAGATTAAGGACTTAGCATATAGCTGATTATCATGTCCAGTGGCAAGATTAAGGACTTAGCATAATGCTGACTTTCAGGTCCAGTGGCAAGATTAAGGACTTAGCATAATGCTGACTTTCAGGTCCAGTGGCAAGATTAAGGACTTAGCATAATGCTGACTTTCAGGTCCAGTGGAAGATTAAGGACTTAGCATAATGCTGACTTTCAGGTCCAGTGGAAGATTAAGGACTTAGCATAATGCTGACTTTCAGGTCCAGTGGAAGATTAAGGACTTAGCATAATGCTGACTTTCAGGTCCAGTGGAAGATTAAGGACTTAGCATAATGCTGACTTTCAGGTCCAGTGGAAGATTAAGGACTTAGCATAATGCTGACTTTCAGGTCCAGTGGAAGATTAAGGACTTAGCATAGTGCTGATTATCCCGTCAAGTGGCAAGATTAAGGACTTAGCATAATGCTGTCTCGTCCCGTGCTTAGCTTTGATTAATGACTTAGTATAATGCTGACTATCCAGTCCCGTGTATTGTTCGTCTGCAACATTCTTCTCCGCTGCGGGAAAGGGGGAGGTGCACTTACGTGAGAACTTTTCGTGCAAACTGAGAAGATAACGTTCCATGGTTTGTACTTTCCATCAGTGGTGTGTTCCGCCAACCAGTTGATACATCCAGTTATGGTCGTTAGTACTTGTGGGGGTATGTCTGTGTCAGATTAAGACAGAGGGTGGCATGTGGGTGGGGGGAAAATCGTGAAATTAGTTTTAGAAAAATTGTAAAATGATAATTATTTAATAAAGTTAGAAAAGTTTAAACAGTGATTAGAAATAATAATTCGAAATTACATTTTTTTTGTTGATTGGAAAAATCTTGAATACATACATGTTACACTAATTACATATCCATGCTCCGCCACGGTAAATGTTTTTTTTATTAATGTACCAACTTGGGAACAGAACAAAACTAAAGACAAACACAAAAAGCACAAAAGAAAACGCAAACGCAAACAGAAATACAAACACAACGAAAACACAAACTCAAACACAACGCAAACTCAAACACAAAAGAAAACGCAAACATAAACACAAATGCAAATAAATACAAAAACACAATGCAAACCCAAACGCAAACACAAATGTAATCACAGACGCAACACACTAAAACAAAAACACAAAAGAGCACGCAAACTCAAACACAACGGTGATGCAAATGCAAACACAAACACAAACGCAAACACAAACAAAAGAAAATACAAACACATAAACAATGCAAAAAAAAAACGAATGCAAACGCAAACCCAAAAAAAAAATTACAAACGAAAACGCAAACATAAATGCGAACGCTAACGCAAATGCAACATGCGCCTGATTTAACTTAGTAAAGGACTATAATACCCCAACTTATCTATAATCTATTACACTCACTTTAACGAACGTAGGCGCAATAGCACTCACGGGGAGGCCCGGGGCCCGGGGCCCCAAATAGTACTATGTTGGGGCGCCGGAGGACACACTGGATTTGATTTAGTGGAGGACTAGTAAACCTTCTTATCCATCGCACTGTTTAAAAAAAACGTAGGCGCAATGACGCTCACAGGAAAGCCAGGCGTCAAATAGCACTCTGTCGAGGCGCTAGAGGACGCGCTGGTTTCAATATAGTGAACGTCTATATTAACCCATTTTATCCACAGCTTATGGCACTCTTAAAAATCAAAGTATGCACCATATCGCTAACAGGATAGCTCGTTTGACAGGCCTGATTCAATTTAGTGTTTTCAAAAAAATCATAAATCGTGTAATAATGCACTAAATGTAGAAAATAAATGATTTTCTTTATATATATATATATATATATATATATATATATATATATATATATATATATATATATATATATATATATATACTAATTCACTACTATTTAAATAACTGTAAAGAAAAGCGTGGATCACTTTATTATCTATTGGATTTCTTTATTTATGTTTAGGAAGTGACTCACGATTTTCTTTATAGTTATTTAAAAAGTAGTGTATTATTATGTTTTTAAAGAAAATCATTTATTTTCAACTTAATAGAGCATTATACATAAAAGCTTGTTATAAAACGTATTTTATGAATTTTTTCCCAGTTCTTTACGTTTTATTTTTTTTTTTACTTTCTCGTATAGAAAGTATAGAGAAACTAAGGTAATCGTGCAAAAAATCGCTGAAAAGTTGTTACTGATCTACTTATTTGATGTAATACTTATATATGAAATTTCATCAACCTAGCTTTAATGGTACTCATCCTGTTCATAGACATACACACACATACAGACACACACAGACATACATACAAGTTTGCAAAATTATATTTTTTTCCACTCAAGTAGGTCCTAAACTTCAAGATTCGTTAAAATCTCGATTCCGATTTTTTTCCACGATTACAATACTTGCTCTATACTCTGTATACGAGAAAGTAAAACGAAGACATATTCAATGTGTACACAAAAAAGTGTAACAACGGACCTTCTTTCCAGTGAGATGTTTTTGTTTCCTCATCATAAACACTCCAAGTGTAGATCAGGGCATTGGCCGCCATTGCTGTTGTAAAAATTCTATCCTCGCCCCGCACCTATTGTAAAAAGTACACCAAGATGGATATCTCTTCAATCCCTTTTAGTTGTATACACTAAAGTAAAATTCAACAAATGCTTTAAACCCATTGCTTAATTTGAAACCATTGCTTATTTAAAAAACCCATTGCTTAATTGAAAAAACCCATTGCTTAATTAAAAACCACTGCTTGCTTTAAAAACCCATTGCTTGATAAAAAACCCATTGCTTAGTTTAAAACAAACATCGATTTAATACAAAAAAAAACATTGCTTAGTAATAAAACCCATTCCTTAATTAAAAACCCATTTGTTAATTAATTATAATACCCATTTCTTAATTAAAATCATAATACACCCCAAAATTTAAGACGTAGGACCCACTCACTATAGGCTCATTCATTTCGTTGTAGTCCCCATTTCCAAGAAAATCGTCAAAATAAACTTTCTCCGTCAGCTCTGTTTTCGCTTTAGATAAAATTTGTTTTGTCATTTCGTTCTCTGCCGCAGTTTTAAACATATCATATACTTTGTCCAACACCTTTGGAAAAACAATATACTTATATAGAACTAATTGTCGGACAGTCCGTCCGTCTTTACGTCCGTCTGTCTGCCCGTCTGTCCGTCTGTCTCTCTGTCTACAAGATTTGCCACAATCCACAAATAAATAGAAAAACAAGCAAAAAAAACTGTAAACTAAATAAACGCTTATTTTTTAAAAAAAACCAAGATGGCGGAGACTAACCGGAACAGGAAGTGGACCCTTTCGTTTTGCTGTTTCTAGCACCGTCAGTGTCCTGGTTGCTAACCAGTAGAATTCCATCTCAGAAGGGTAGTAGACGAGGGCCAGATCTGGTCGGTCTGTTAGATTGTTCTTTATTTGGAACGCAACCAGAGATGACGTGTTCAAGTAGATTTGCTGTACAGGAATGGATTAAAAAATGGGGGCTTTGTTTTTACTTTCTTCAATATGCAATCTAGAGGGCAGTACTGTTATCATGGGGAAAATCGAAATCAAGATTTCAGGAAAGCTCGACTTTTTACACGTTCCTGTGTCGGAAAACCCCAATTTTACAATCTTTTTAAATATGTCTGTCTATGTGTGAACACAGCAGCTTCGTTAAGGAGGAAATCTATAATATAAGCGGCTAGGTAGTGTGTCAGTCCTTCCTTTCGTCATCGCTATAGATTTTGGAACCATAAAAGTAAACATCGCACCATACAGTGCTTTTCAGTGCGTCGCAGTGTCTTATTATAAATAACTAGACTTACCCGGTCATCCCTTGGATAACTGTGGGTTTCGGGGGGGGGGGGGGGGGGGGTCATCCATAAAAAAACATCACGTCTGTCACTTATCGTCACAAAAAACCAGACCCCACATTCAAAAAGATGTTTTTTATCTTTTAAAAACACCGATTTCGGACTATCCCTTCATATACTGACGTCACAGGTGACATACTCAACTCTACTTCACCTGCCCAGTGTCCCGCTAAGTCTCAGACAACATGTTTTTATCGTTTAAAAAAACGATTCCAACCGAGCATGTCTCTGACCACACTATCTTTTCATATGCTTAGGACAAAGAAACAGATGAACTCTACTTCACCTGCCCTGCATCCCGCCAAGTTCAGATAGGCAACTTTATCATTCACATCTCAAAAATAAAAAAAATTGTTCTATTACATCATCGGTATCTGTGTTGTACTTATTATAGTAAAGCGATTGCGTCATCAACAACGGCGTTCTGTTTACTTTCAACTAACTAAGGGACGCTACTCTGATTGACAGCATGAATAACGAAACCAAACATTAAAAAAAATTTAAAACGACATGTCTCGAACCCATGCCACCCCCATGGTAACCTAGTACACTATCACCTTAGCTACCTAGGCTCTTACATTGTTTGGATGTTATTACGTTATACATTTTACTTTTAGTGTGCGAATCAAATTTGATTTAAGCCCTAGATCTAGTATCTTTCAAATTAAATAAATTGTATCTAAATTAGCCAATTCCATAGCTAAACAAACAAAGATTTATATAAAATATAAAATAATGAAGCTCTAAAATAGTTTAGTAAATAGAAACTCATTATTATATAAATTTAAATAGAATGATCTATATTCTACGACTGATCTGCTTACTTAAGCCTAGTTTTTGCGTAGCTCTTGCTAGATATAGATTAGACATATTCTAAATCTAGATCTAGATAGATAAATCACAAAGATTTATATCAAGTATTTAAGGACTAAAGTAGTTAAATAAAGAAACTCAAAAATGTACTATGATTTTAAACTGGATTGTATTTTTAACAAATTAATCTTTGGTTTGACCTAGATTCTAGATCTAGATCTATAAATAACTTTCTTGGCCACCTGATATTTAGATCTATAAATATTTTTCTTGGACAAATTGTAGAGCTAGAGAAATGTATTGTAAAACTAAATGAAAAAGACAGTTGAAAATTGATATAAGTGTTGGAACGTAATAAAAACAGCAAACGGACGTATTGTTAAAGTCATAGCCGACAGAAAATTAGCTTTAGAACGCGTTAAACTTTTGAATGGGCCTATGATGGAAGCCGCCATATTAATGTACTAAAAAGTAAACAAATCAAGTGACGTCACTATTCAGTCAAAGAAAACCATTGTTTGAAAATTTTAAAATTGATGTGGTTAATCTACCTATGAATAAATCAATAAATTAATTAACGTCTTTAAATAAATTTGTGATTAACAGTCTGTCTGAAAAGACAAATTGTTTTCTACCTAATTACTATTCTACAGCTATCCACATAGAGCAGATTTTCTATAGTAGTCAATCGGACAAACAAATAAAGATTCAAACATGTAAACAAACTTGAGTTTTAGTAGTATATAGATATAGATAGATAGAAAGAGTGGGCCACTATAATAATAAGTATTTAAACAAGCGGCCCACGCTTTTAATTGTAGTGATATAAATAGTAGTGCACAGAGTTTCTTCCAGGCATCTCTTCGGGGGTGGCAAAGCCCCCCCCCCCCCCCCGAAAATTTTTTACCGCCCCCCCCCCCCCGAACGAAATGAAATTTATATAATTTATATAGAAAATATATACTTTTAACAGTGTCCGCCCCCCCCCCCGAAGAAAGTTTACCGCCCCCCCCCCCCCCCCCGAAGATTTCAAGTGCCCCCCCCCGGAGAAAAAAGTCTGGAAGAAACACTGGTAGTGCATTAATATATTTAAAGAAAGTAATTTTTTATATATAACCGCAGATTTATTATATTTTTAAAAATTATTTGATATTTAATAAACATTGTATTATTTTCTTCTTTTTAGTGCATTTATAAAAGCTTGTAATTTTAAACGTTTTTATGTATTTATTATTTTTAATATTCAACTCACTCTCAATAATTTAAGTTAATTTTTTTTATTACTACCGCATTGATTATTATATGTTAAGGTTCATAAGTAAAATAGAAAAATGTTAAGATTATTTATATTATTTTCTAATTAGTCTATGATCTCTCAAAATCACTATTTTTTTGTTTTTGTTTTTTGGTGTTAACAGATGGTGAAACTTTAGAATTATAGTATTAGAGAATGCTGGAAAGACTCTATCGGGGCGCGGACGCTTGGGAAAAGTGTGTTTTTCCCGGTGATTCTACATTGCCAATGTGTTTTCTTAGAATCATAAAAGTAAACACCACTTGCCGTACATTCATTTGCATCGCATTATTTTATTGTAAGTTATGGAGTAGGATCTATTTATTTGACTTTTTTATGCTGGAAAGGCTCTCGTTGGGCGCAGACGCCTACAAAAGCGTGTTGTTCGGTGGTGATTCTAATGTTGCGGTTGTGTTGTGGTTGTGTTGTGGTTGTGTTGTGGTTGTGTTGTGGTTGTGTTGTGGATGTGTTGTGGTTGTGTTGTGGTTGTGTCGTGGTTGTGTTGGGGTTGTGTTGTGGTTGTGTTGTGGTTGTGTTGTGGTTGTGTTGTGGTTGTGTTGTGGTTGTGTTGTGGTTGTGTTGTGGTTGTGTTGTGGATGTGTTGTGGTTGTGTCGTGGTTGTGTTGTGGTTGTGTTGTGGTTGTGTTGTGGTTGTGTTGTGGTTGTGGTTGTGTTGTGGTTGTGTTGTGGTTGTGTTGTGGTTGTGTTCTGGTTGTGTATTGGTTGTGTTGTGGATGTGTTATGGTTGTGTTGTGGTTGTGTTGTGGTTGTGTTGTGGTTGTGTTGTGGTTGTGTTGTGGTTGTGTTGTGGTTGTGTTGTGGTTGTGTTGTGGTTGTGTTGTGGTTGTGTTGTGGTTGTGTTGTGGTTGTGTTGTGGTTGTGTTGTGGTTGTGTTGTGGTTGTGTTGTGTTGTGGTTGTGTTGTGGTTCTGTTGTGGTTGTGTTGTGGTTGTGTTGTGGTTGTGTTGTGGTTGTGTTGTGGTTCTGTTGTGGTTGTGTTGTGGTTGTGTTGTGGTTGTGTTGTGGTTGTGTTGTGGTTGTGTTGTGGTTGTGTTGTGGTTGTGTTGTGGTTTTGTTGTGGTTGTGTTGTGGTTGTGTTGTGGTTGTGTTGTGGTTGTGTTGTGGTTGTGTTGTGGTTGTGTTGTGGTTTTGTTGTGGTTGTGTTGTGGTTGTGTTGTGGTTGTGTTGTGTTGTGGATGTGTTGTGGATGTGTTGTATAGATCAGAAACTAGATTTCCCTCTCTTGTAGTTTTAGGTTCAGAAAATTTAAATGACTAGTTTTGTCTACAGCAGAGGCCAGTTTGTATACCCACTCTTCATCAGACATTAATGGCTGTTGATTGCCTTTACTTTCCAAAAAGTAACCTATTTCTTTTCTTAACTTAAATACTCTGCTCGGAACATTCTCACACCTTAAATATCGCACTGCTGTGTATTATGGTAAATCGTGCGATTCTGTGTTTGTATTTGAAAGTCACAATGTTTTAACTCATGTCTACAACACGGTGGGGAATGGTATTTGCACTCAAAGCTAGATTTTCAAACTGTTTAAAATTTTCTGGGCAAATTTCCTCAGCCACATCAAATTTTTTCCATGGACAAAAAATTCTCTACGGGCCGGATGAGAGGACCTCGAGGGTCGCATCCGGCCCTGGGACCGTAGTTTGGAGACCCCTGCTATAGAGGGTCAATAAACTTTGAGCTGACGTCAATAGAAAATCCGTGCTGAGGTTAATGTTGTAACAAATGTGTCTTGAACTACGACCCTCGGGACACTTCCCCGCCACCCACACCTCCCCTTAGTCAAAAAGAAATAATTTGTGGCTTAAACAACAGTGACGTCATCACCTCAATCTCCGGGTCCATTAAAACATCTGGCTGACCACGCCGGACAGTACCAATGACGTCATGCCGTAGATGGTGTCGGCCCCGACTGTGACGTCCACGGTGTTAACCAGGTAGGGCATGATGACCCCCTTGTAGAACAACGTCCGCTGTTCTTCAATGGACTCGGTCTGTCGGATAAATGTGATTGGTCAGCTTCATGGGTAGGATAATGACCTGAATAAAGCTTTGACTTATGATGAAAAAAAAAATGTCACCACGTTTACGTGAACAAGTTTAAAAACACAAATAACATGCATACGTTTCAAATTTCATGTTTGTTTTACGTAAACTAAAATAAATCACTTTTCTGAAAAGCCCAAAACTTTTTATTTCAATAAAGCGCTTAATTTTACGTCAAACGCGATTATTAATCATCGGTAAAAGATTAATGTTTAGCGTAATTTAACGATGCAGGATTTAAGTATTTGAAAAAAATATAATTTACAATTATATGCGTAAACTTTATGGTAACATTTTTATAAAAACAGTTGAAAAGTCTGTATCGTTCAAATTTTAATATATGTACTAAGTAAACTGAATATATATATATATATATATATATATATATATATATATATATATATATATATATATATATATATATATATATATATATATATATATATATATATATAGATATATATATATATATGTGTGTGTGTGTGTGTGTGTATTGTGTGTGTGTGTTTGCGTGTGCGTGTGTGTGTGGGGTGTGGGTGTGTGTGTGTGTGGGGGTGTGTGTGTGTGGGTGTGTGTGTGGGTGTGTTTGCGTGTGCGTGTACGTATGCGTGTGCGCGTGTGCTTGTGCATGTGCGTGTGCGTGTGTGCGTGTGCGTGTGTGGGTGGGTGGGTGGATGTGTGTGTGGGTGTGTGTGTGTGCATGTGCGTGTGCGTGTGTGTGTGTGGAGTATACGAAGAAATGTTATGCGATGGTCAAAAAATGATGTCACAAAATTTTAGCTGTCAAAAAAACAATATTTCTGACATCATTCGTTTTTTTAGCGCAATTTCCATTCTGGAGAATTGCGTTTATTAACTCGTCATTTCTGGGAATGGATGGATGGATGGATGAATGTGTGTCCGGGCTTTAAGTCGTATCTCCTCCTCAACGAAGCAATATCGATGACTAGTTCCAAAAGCAATTATGTTAAGCAAGTTACGAGAATGAGCATAGGCCATAAAAATTCCGGGTTTCTTTCATGTATTTCCCGTAAAAGCCAAAAAACCTCGAAAAAATGCAGTTTTTGGCCCATATCTCGGCAACCAGACCACTTAGCGACTTGAAACATGTACCAATCGATTCCTGCCATAATTTAGAACAATATTGCCGAAGAAAGTTTTCAAAAATATCCTCTCGTTCGGTCACAAATTTTAAAATTACATAAACACCTACAAACCGATCGCTCTTCTAGCTTGAACGCACCCCATCATTATACGTCAGAGCTATTTTTAGATAAAATAAGGAAATTGCGCATAAATGTCACTAGACTTTTTTAATTAACTTGCGCGCCTACTGAACGTGATGGCGCAGCCATGGAACGCGATGATGCATCTATTGAACGTGATGACGCGTGTGGTGTGGTTGTATATACATGCCGGAAGTAGAGATCTATCATCTTAATGATTATCATGTTGATAATCAAGTTCAACTAATCAATGGTTTTATTAACCCTGCTCTTGATTTCAAGGTGCTTAGTTTAGTTAGTAGTTAGGTCTATTTAATAAAAAACGTTTTAATAACTAACCAATGGTTTTACTAACCCTGCTCTTGATTTACGCTACGACAGAGCTATTTTTAGATAACATAAGGAAATTGCGCTAAAATTGTCACTAGACTTTTTAATTAACTTGTTTTCTTATTTTCCTACTTTATTTCGCAACAAAAATAAACATTATGTACTGTGCCACATTCCACAAGACTCTCTTGGAGCGTGACATAATTTCTGATCTGCTCCATGCTGTTTATGGGGTACAATCATTTAATTTCTCTAAAACCTACCCATGTTGAAACTAGTGCTATGTCAGAGCCTTCAGATTGAGCCTGGTCCAGAAATTTTCTCATGTGAAAATAAGACCTGGGGTCGATTGTGTTGACATTGGGATCACTGGAGAAAGGTCTGTAGGCGTATTTCTTTAAGGCGTCGAATACTGGTTGGATTAAAAAAATTTAAAAAGTCTTAGATAAGATGAAATAAAAATAAAATGTAATCATGTGTTTTGCTAAGAATGTTTGGAGAAAGACTGCTATTTCGTGGGGATAGCAAGATAGAGATTAACGTACTGACCTAAATTTTATGTATAAAATTGTTCGTCGAAAAAGAATAAAAGTATTGTTTTTTATAACTTACAGACGCATAGCGAGGGGAGGGGGGGGGGGGGGGGCAGGGGGGACATATGTACCCGGGCGCCGACCTTAGGGCTGGCGCCAAATTGAAAGTTTGAGGGGGAAGGGTCGCTACGCCTCTGATTACTTACACTATTTCGTTGTTAATCTAACAAAATATATTTCAATTAAATTTATTTAATTTATACAGATTAGATGATAATAATTAGACACTATTTGTTAAATGTCAAATTTCCAAATGTAGTTGATTTTCCTATAGCATAGGTTAAATGGTGCAAAATAAAACAATTATACAAAACGTTGGTCATTTGGCCATTAAAAGGTGTAAGAGAATTCGTGCGCGATATACAGATAGAAAGGCAGACAAACAGAGGGTAAGAAAGAACAGAAGACAAACAGAGAGACATAGAAGCAGACATAGAAACATGCATAGAAACAGGCATAGAACAGACATAGAAACAGACAGACAGACAGACAGACAGACAGACAGACAGACAGACAGACAGACAGACAGACAGACAGACGGACGGACGGACGGACGGACGGACGGACGGACGGACGGACGGACGGACGGACGGACGGACGGACGGACGGACGGACGGACGGACGGACGGACGGACGGACGGACGGACGGACGGACGGACGGACGGACGGACGGACGGACGGACAGACAGACAGACAGACAGACAGACAGACAGACAGACAGACCGGAAGTGATGTTCGTGTTGTCTTCACTCCACAGCTCCCAGCCCGTCTTTAGCTGGTCCCTCATCTCAAACAGCAACGATCCGACTCCCATGTAGACAAAGGTGTCATCAAAGTCGGTCGGGATGTACTGGGTCAATTGAAATAGAGCCCTACCAGAAACCAAAGGTAAGGTATTTTTATACTTGATTTGATCTTTGGCGATTAGATGTTGAGATGTTGCGGATGACGTTTATTAATTACAAAAATTTATCACCCTTCGCATAAATTCTAATTGTGTCTGAAAATTACTTTCTTTAGTCCTTTAGCACTAATTAATTCACCTGATAAATTACAAAACACAATTACTTACCTTAAAAAAAAAATCATTACATCAAGGGAAAAATACTTTATTATTGATAAAGTGTAATGTGATAGGTAAAACACGGATATTTTAAATACATTTTATTTATATACACCGAAAATACTGTTTACTAAGTATTATTTGTAATCTATAAATGTTTAGGAGCCGCTCCAAAATATCCTCTATGTTTACTTCTATCTATTGGTTGGCGGATAAGAGTGGTGTATTATAATCGTTCATGAAATTGAATCAAACGCCCCGGCAGGGTACGATTTGGCACCCTGAACTATCATATGAGCATAATAGTGCATAGTTTAGTTTTAAACACAGCGATAGACTATAAATAAAAAAGGTAACTATTTTTGTTCACTAAATCGAATCCACGGCGTTCTCCGGCGCCCTCACAGGTTGTTATTTGGCGCCTCGAGCTTTTCGGTGAGCTCTATGGCGCCCTCGTTCGTTTTAAACATTGCGATTGACTATGGATAAGAAGGGTTACTATAGTCCTTCACTAAATCTGGCGCCTCCATATGGTGCTATTTCTCGCCGCGGGCCTTCACTTGAGCGCTATGGCAACTACTTCGGTTTAAACTGTGCGATAGACTAAGGATAAGATGGAGTATTATAGTCGCTTACTAAATTGAATCAGGGAGGTCCGCCGGCGCACCGGCATGGTGGGATATGGTGCCCGGGTTATACTATGAGCACTATGCTTTTATGTTTGCATTTGAGTTTGTGTTTATGTTTTGCGTTATTTTTTTTGCGTTAAGATTTGCGCGTTTGTTTGCGTTTCTGTTTGAGTTTGCTTTTGTAAATGCGTAAGTGTTTGCATTTAATTTTATTTTTGCATTTACGTTTGAGTTTTCTTTTGTGTTTGCGGTAATGTTTGCGTTTATGTTTGTGTTTGCGTTTTTGTTTATGTTTATGTTTGCGTTTTTGTTTTTGTTTGCTTTTGTGTTTTCGTTCGTGTTTTCATTTGTGTTTGCTTTTGTGTTTTTTTTTTGTTTTTTTTTGTGTTTTGGTTGTGTTTGGTTGGGATTAGGGTTAGTACAAAAGTAACATATTTCCTAAAGCCGGGCAGTGCCGCGTATATGCTGCTTAATAAACACTCAAGTCATGGTTCTTTAGTGGTAGGTATTTCATAGGCCAGTGCAGGGCCTGGCCGGACGGCTGAAGTCTAATAATTTTGCTTCATCTTTATGTCTATGTGTAATATAGTACCTTAATCTCTCAGTGTCTACACGACAGCAGCAAAAAGTAAATGGTTGATTTTTATTGTTGCGATTCTCGTATGATATTAAATTAAACGGACAGAAGATGCTGACTCAATTCAAAGGAAAATATTTACAACAAACAAAAAACATTGAAAACATCTCTTGATACTCACTTTTCGCCTAGTGTGGTGTATAACACTTTTAGTAGGTTATCCGGCGCCAATCCGTTGAGTAAAGCTTCTACAAATTTCATGGGTATGAGTTTTAATATCTGTAAAAGGCTCTGAAACGATGAAAAGAAGTAGGAGCTGTTACGAAGTGTTATCAAAACTAGAGTTATTGGATTTGGATACGTTTAAATTTAAGGGCCGGGTCGTTCGAATCAAATAACTCAACAAGCGTGTTTCTAGTCTGTGTTACAATTAATTTCCTGAGCAGGGGGGCGAGGTGCTTGGCGGATTTAAAAAGAAGGGCTGACAAGGCAAGAACCTGGGGCCGCATATTTTAAAGGCCCAAAAGTTGTCTCCCTCGAACCATAGTGAATTTCATTTTCTAAGCGGTTCGGTAGTATTGCTGGAAAGGTTAATGTTTTTATATTTAAATTAATTCTAATTTTACTCTTTCTTTTCAAATTACCAAATGCAACTCTTTTTAATGTGACTTCAAACCCGAATACATTCTTTTGTCAAAATCAGCAGTTATCCCTTGTTGCCCAGACATTGTTTACTTGTATCGGCTGGTAGACTTTCCAAAAATACTAACGCCTGAGAGAATCTTTATTTCTAACGATTGAATAGATTACTTGCATAGTTTTATTAAAACTCACACAGCAACCTCATTCAAACAAATATGTCAATGGTTCATTCCCTTACAGAATGTCGGCAAGCGACAACGCTATATATATATATATATATATATATATATATATATATATATATATATATATATATATATATATATATATATATATATATATATATATATATATATATATATATATATATATATATATATATATATATATATATATATATATATATATATAAAATGGCTCTCAGATACGAGCGAATTGCAGTACGAGCAATGTTAGGGGAGAACGTGCCACGTATGTGTACATACCACTTGGTTTTCTTCTCCAGTATGCCAGTAGTTAACCGTTTCATCGTAGTACTGCGTAAAGAAAGACATGAGTGACGTGTTATATGCAGCGTTCTGGTCTTGGAAGTCCTCAAAAAACTGTGAATAATGATATAAAGTAAAGCGCCATAGTAGTATGGAGTACAAAAAGTGCCAAATGGTTGGCTCGCTATAACTACGCCACCATTTGGTGTACTTGTTATTATTTTCAGAAAGTATTACTACACACTAGATAAACATTGTTTATAGGTAGCAAAATAATACTAGTATAGAACGGCGTGGCCTTAGCGGTAGAGCGATAAGCTGCTAATCCGAAAGTCTCGAGTTCGAATCATTAGAACTTCCCTGAGTCCACCCAGCTCTGAATGGTACCTAACTCATGTTAGGGACAGTAAAGGCATCTGTGCAAAGTGCTGAACATATTTTCCTTTCACATGCCGAGGTCAAGAAAAATATCATCTCTATTTCATTTACCTAATGGATCTCTAGATCTAAAGAGGATTCTTTATTTTACTTTAAATAAGAAATAAAATATTAGATCACGAGGTAGGGCGAGCGCCCAGCGTGGATCGCCAGCTGTACACTTTTTTGGTACGTGGTTTGAGTTCCTGGACTCGACATAAAATCTTGGAACTTTATATATCGAATCATGCAACAGTTTCGTCGATGCTTCTTGAATGTATTATGCGACACGAAGATTTAGGGATAGTTTTTAGCTCAAATGTATAACTTTTTTTTTAATGAATGGCGCACAAATACATAGAACTCATTATCGCTTACATTGACAGACAGCGCTAACTGATCGTCGGAAAGCTTCGGGGCGTTGCCGTACTTGAAGGCCTCGAGGAGGGTAGACATGATCAAGGCGTTGGCGAACATGTTGTTGTCGACGACGGTGAGGAGTCGGCGCGCCTCTGCCATGATCGGAGATCCATTAAAGTTGAACCTTAACTCTTGGGTGTACACGCCCTTGTTGCGGTGCCATTGTTTAAATTCGATATAAGGAACCTCCTCCTTGGCCTGTGGGTTAGATAAATATCTGCGTCATGGGTGAGTAAACCCTGGGATCGCTGATTAACACCATTATTTTAGGCGGCTTTTAAATTGTATTATATGAAAGAACCACTTAAAATATTTAATAAGCAAAACAGCCACGAATAATTTGACATCAGATAAAAGGTCTTTCATTCAAACTAAACCGGGTGTGATCTCCCCTCAACTTTCTCGAATATTCTTATATAGCACTACTTTATGGGGGGTGGCTACTCGGGATATAGACAAGATTTGAAATCCATTTTGAATTACTTAAACTTTTAAAAATAGAATAGAATCTCGTAGAAAAAAAGAATTGTGCACCAAGTGAACGACAAATAATATGTGTATAATAGTGCAGAATATTATTAGTACTTTAAAAATTCCTATGCGCATTTGAGAAATCGGCATTAGCGTAAATTAATACTTCCGATCAACGGAACTTACTCAAAATTAGATAGATGACGGAGAGTTAGATATTCTACCTACATGTGAAATGTCATTTATCTATCTGAAGCTCTACTGAAGTCGTAAGCTTTTGAAAAACTAAAAGAAGAATAAGTTCCACTTCCGTTTATAGGAAATCGCTGAAAAGTTGAGTCAGAACTATAAATTTGATATAATACTTAGATATGAAACTTCATCAACCTAACTGTAACGGTACTCAAGTTATCGTGTTCACAGACACACACACACGCATACACACATACACACAGACATACGGACAAAATTGCAAAACTATCTTTTTTTCGACTCAGGGAAATGTAAAACGTCGAGATTTGTGAAAATCTCGATTTCGAATTTTTACACGATTACAATACTTCTTCTATAGGCCTACTTCGTATACGAGAAAGTAAAAAGTACCAGCTATCAATATTCTAAATCACAAAAAATATTTCGATTTTTTTTTTGCACGATTTCAATACTTCCTCTATACTTCGTATACGAGAAAGTAAAAAGTACCAGCTGTCAATATTCTAAATCACAAAAATTACTCTGGACCTAACTTTAACCGTGATATTAAAAACGATGCAGGCAACAGAAAACTTATTTAGATGTTTTGTTCACAAGAGACCCCTAAGACGGCGTAAGCGAAATTCTCCTTGCAGGTTTAATCAAGAACAGGTTTTCTCGTGCTTAATTTTTTGTAGTTACTGAAGGTATCGTATTAGGGGAACTGTATTCAAGTGGTGAGTATCGTGTTCTAGAATATTTAGCTACGTACTAGTTAGACCAATTTCTATGTTTCTCTTCTATTTTATTAGTGTACAGGTTGAAGTCTTTATAATATATAGTTTGACCGGAAATGTGTTTAAATTTCTCGTGTTTTGACTTCATTTCAGTCGCTTTGAGTGAATATCTTAGTGTAACTCTGCCAGTGGCGGAATTATAAAAAAAGTGCCACCCCGCAAAAAAAAAAAATTCTGGGTCCCCCTCATATATATATATATATATATATATATATATATATATATATATATATATATATATATATATATATATATATATATATATATATATATATATATATATATTTTTTTTTTTTTTTTTTTTTTTTTTTTTCAAAAATCTTGCCTGAATTCTGTCAAAATAGAGTATTTTAATCAATTCCTATTATAATTTATTAAAACAGTTTTCTAAAACGCAAAATAACGTCTAAAATTAGTTTTCTAACATTGCTTTTTTATAATGCAAAAATGTGACGTCGTACCATCTGAACCCCCCCTCCCCCTCATCACACACCGTCACAAAATTACGGATCCCCCCTCCCTACGAGTGTGACGTCATTTATGGACGACCCCCAGGCATATATATTTGTTTACGCAACAGCATGACTGTGTTAGCTACTGTATAACATCACTACTGTAGTAGATCTGTTTGTTATTTACAAAAGCTTTTACCGTCAAGTCAAAAATGCAAGAAATTTTTTTTTAACTATAAACAATTTATTATGATCGGCTCTGGGCCCCTAAATGGCGTGGGGCCCCCGCATTGCGGGGTCTGGCGGCACTTTAGTTCCACCACTGAACTCTGCATGCGCTGCCAAGGGAGATGTGGAGGTGCACAGGAGGGAAGCAGCTGACAGTTGTCATGGGGGACTGCCAAGAAAATTGCCGGTGACCGTCAAAAGTGGGGGAGGTGGAGCCTTCTGTGGCGGCCCCATGTGCCTGGGGTACAAAAACGAAAAGATGACGAAGAACTATGCGTTGTATCGGCTGGTGTATTAAATAAACTAATAAATGGCCTTTTAATTTCATACAACCTTAATAGATGTTTGTAAAGAAATATTGTAATACCTTTCTGTTACATTACATTCTATAAAATGCCACAGCCGACAAGATTAGAAGAACAGTACTAGGACACTAGCAGAGGTTGTTTGATGAGGGATAGAACACAACCTACCTGCTCTTGATCGACCATTTGGAAAAGTTGCTCAATGAATTGTCTAGAGATCACATTTTTGGATGTGTCATTCGCTGCAAATACCAGACTGCAAGTGCTTAGTGCCAGCAGGAAGCTGAGACACAGGCCGGCCATGTTCTCCATATTTTATAACTAAATAAATAAATATTGTAATGAATAAATTATTTAAATAAATAAATAAATAAATAAATAAATAAATAAATAAATAAATAAATAAATAAATAAATAAATAAATAAATAAATAAATAAATAAATAAATAAATAAATAAATAAATAAATAAATAAATAAATAAATAAATAAATAAATAAATAAATGAACGAATGAACGAATGAACGAATGAACGAATGAACGAATGAACGAATGAACGAATGAACGAATGAACGAATGAACGAATGAACGAATGAACGAATGAACGAATGAACGAATGAACGAATGAACGAATGAACGAATGAACGAATGAACGAATGAACGAATGAACGAATGAACGCATGAACGCATGAACGAATGAACGAATGAACGAATGAACGAATGAACGAATGAACGAATGAACGAATGAACGAATGAACGAATGAACGAATGAACGAATGAACGAATGAACGAATGAACGAATGAACGAATGAACGAATGAACGAATGAACGAACGGACGAACGAACGAACGAACGAACGAACGAACGAACGAACGAACAAAAATATTATTATTTATTTTGGTATTTAATTACATTCTTGATTCAGAAATAGATATGAACTTTTTGATAAGTTGGTTGAAATGAAGAATCTTAGTAATAAATTTTATCCGTTGAAGATATTTCTCAATGTGTTTATGATAGATATACTTACATACATGATTAAACATGAAAATAAATGAATCCAAAAACCTCGTAAAAGGGCACTTATTTTGTTTAAAAAAGCTTCTTACAAAAAATGCTCAGGATTTTTTCCGTAAACCTATTCGGCATTGGTTACCTATGAAAATATTTGGTTTATTAGTGATTGGCATTTTGTCAATAAATAAGAAAAATAAGAAAAATAAATATAAAATTTTAATTTTTTACCTTAAAAATTCTGGATGTTCGACTATTTTCTGAGCCACTCTCCATAATATATACTCTCTGCGACAACCAAACTTGAAAAGGAATGATAACGACAGATTCTGATGTCAGCAGATATTATTTACAAAAAGTAATGCGAGCCCTCAAAACAAAAGTATAGGGTTATTTTTTTATGAAATTTAAGTACGGTAATTGATAATTCATACGAAAAATATACACATTAACCACTTAGGTAGAGGGAGGCCCAGAGGCGTAGCGACCCTTCCCGGCGCCCGGGGACATACTTTCAATTTGGCGCCCCCCTAGGGAGCAAATTTTCGATTTGCACCCCCTCGAACTTTTCATTTGCACCCCACCCCTCAAATTTTCGATTTGCACCCCCCCCCCCTCGAACTTTTCATTTGCACCCGCCCCCCCCCCCCCCTCACACTTTCAATTTGGCGCCCCCCCCCTAAGGTCGGCGCCCGGGTACATATGTCCCCCCCCCCAGCCCCCCTCGCTACGCCTCTGGGGAGGCCGATATAATAGGTAAAAAAGTTTTTTTTTTATAAAAAGCTGTTTTTCATCTCTGTATTCTAAATTCCACAAAGGTTTATTCTTGTCTTTGCTTTATTTTATTATGTTTATTTCTTTTCCTTTTTTTTATTTGCTATCTCTATTTGTCATGGTTATTTGTTTGTATGTTTATTGATTAATATTTATTGATTCTATATAATTTATGCTTGCCCCCAAATTTATTTCAGGCCTTGGCTTCGCTTAATGGAAGTCGCCACAGGTGGCTAAAGTAGATTTCATATATTTCTGTAATTCAGTATCGGACTTCATAGTGTGGTCAAAATAAGGCCTACACCCACGTATCTGATACAGCTCTTAGCTAACATTTGATATTCGTTTGCTTTTAACGTAAACCGTATAATTAACTGGTTGCTTGAATACAAGGGCATACCACTGAAATTTGAGCACTCATCTTTTCAAAGATAGGGGACGATATGTTTACTTTAAAATAACTTACTCTGTCATGTGTGAAATACATATGACGGTTACCGCCCTTTACGACTTTTATTTTTTGTATCGGACTTCTATGCATTACACACGCGCCTCTGTACAAGTAAACAAGGACTAAAAACAAGTTAGTCCTATCACTTCTTAGTCATACATTTTTTGGTCGAGACGTCCATGGTAAAGGGGAGTTTAAAATATAACCAAATATTTTTTTTTTACTCAATTTATGCCTTACTGCATAGTAGTCCTATTTGAATTAAATCACACAAAAAAGCAAGGTTTGTTTTTGCTTTTTGTTTTTTTTAATGTAACTAAACCAATTTTACAAATTGCAAACAAAACTGTTTATATAATTTAAGCTTTTAGTTATTGCATAATGTCTGTTTGTTTGTTTGTTTGTTTGTTTGCTTGTTATTTTGTTTGTTTGTTTATTTGTTTGTTTGTTTGTTTGTTTGTTTTTATTGTTTGTTTGTTTGTTTCTTTGTTTGTTTGTTTGTGGTAGATTTGTTTCATTATTTAACCCACTTCTAAAACAGCGATTTTGATCCGAAGACAACTCAAAAATATCTAATTTTTAATTTGATTTTAAATTAACCGAGAGATTAAAATTTAATTAAAAGATTTCAATTTGTTTTTAAAGCGGAGATGACAGTCTTTTAGCGATCACAAGCTACTGGAGTTTTACTTATTTATTTTTGTTTGTTTTATTGTTGACTTCATAAAGAACGAATAGAATGCAAAAAATAAAGTTGGCCTACTAATTGTTTTAAAAAAATACTTGAAATACCTCATACTAGGCCCTCATTTGATTATTAAAAATCATAATTACTACAAAGTAAAAAACAAAATAAGCATAAAATCCCTTTTAAATTTTTCCTTAAAATGCAATTTTAAAAAAAAGAAAATGAAAAAAAAAATGCTTTCTTTAATTTAAAAAAAAAAGAAAATCTCCTTCCCATTTTATCAACCAATGCTTCGATTGAAGAAAGTTTTAATTTTTATTTTCTCTACAAGTTATGCCCCTACCCCTATACCCCGCCTACCCATTGGGTGGAAAAAAAAATGGGCCCTTATAGTATCCATTACAGCCTTGAGTCAATTTGCCTACCCTACTTTAATGGGTCCCTGAATCACGTGGGGGAAAGTAAAAGACTGGGCATATTGCTGACTATTCCGTCAGGTATGAAATCTGCTCCGTATTCTCCGTGTATCGTCCCCCAACACCCACCTCCCCCCCCCCCAAAAAAAAAGTTTTAAAGTGTTAACATGTAATACTGATGATGCTTATCTATAGTCGGTTGTTAATACAATTGGGCGCAGCATTGTTTTCTGTGTGCCCCCCCCCTTTATAACTCTAATTAAACATTCATTAAACTGGCAAAAAACTGTATTTATTCTATATATCTTGCAATTTTTTCGTCCTGGTTTCACCCCCCCCCCTCCCCCTAAATGGTGTCACCAGTAGCGGTCCGCAAACCACGCCCCCGCCTTGCGACGCCTCTGTCTAATATAATAATAGTTTGCATTACCGGTAAACCATTATTGCTACATTTGCTCTTAATGGAACTGAACGTTTCACTAGTAGCAACTGCGCTCATAAAATGTGGGCTCTCTTTTTGTTACTGATACGTTCACGCTAATTTTTAATTAAAACCTAATTACTACACCAAGTATGAAATACAGTTACCCGATAACGCCCTTTTTTCGCCTTAATTAATTTCGAATGTCGACACTTTCCACACATGAATGCGCATGTGACCTAAAAGCCGCGCATTTCAAAACGGAACACTTTTAGCTGTCGATTTCTATTTCTCTGTGTCGGTGTATAATCTAAACACAGCTGGCTTAAAACACAAGTCGAAATAAAAACGGGTCTTGGTCCTGTCGAACTAAAAAAAAAGGTCTTAGTCCTACAAAAATTCTTCCAGGCATCTCTTCCCGCCCCATACCTCGCAAAGTCAGTCTATCCCCCCCCCCCCTTTCCACCCCACCCTCCCCCAATCGAAATGGAATTTATATAGAAAACATTAACTTTTACCAGTGTCCAAATCTGTGTCCACCCCTCCGGAAAATGTAGTCCGCCCCCAACCCGAAAATATAAAAAGCCCCCCCCCCTTTCCCCTGGAGAAAAAAGACTGAAAGAAACACTAAGTCTAATGCGTCAAAACATTGCACTGAACCGGAGAAGAAAACCTTCCAAGGTTCGTACTTTCCATCAGTGATGTTTTCCAGCAGCCTGCTATGGTCGTTAGGACTTGTAACGGTAAGTATGTGTCACAACAAGTTAGAGGGGGGGGGGGTTGTATGTGGGGGGGGGGGAGAAATTACCGATCACTTCTCATGTTGTTTAATAAGAAAATTTCGAAAAATTATACATCTTTTTACTTTCTCGATAAAGTATTGTAATCGTGCAAAAAAGTCGAGATTTTTGCAAATCTCGACGTTTTACACCTCACTGAGTCGGAAAAACATAGATTTGCAATTTTGTCCGTATGTGTGTGTGTGTGTGAGTGTGTGTGAGTGTGTGTGTGTGTAAGTGTGTGTGCAAGTGTGTGTGCAAGGGTGTGTGCAAGGGTGTGTGCAAGGGTGTGTGCAAGGGTGTGTGCAAGGGTGTGTGTGTGTGTGTGCAATGGTGTGTGTGTGCAAGGGTGTGTGTGCAAGGGTGTGTGTGTGTGCAAGGGTGTGTGTGTGTGCAAGGGTGTGTGTGTGCAAAGGGTGTGTGTGTGCAAGTGTGTGTGTGTGCAAGTGTGTGTGTGCAAGTGTGTGTGTGCGTGCGTGTGTGTGTGTGTGTGCTTGTGTGTGTGTGTGTTTGTGTGTGTGTGTGTTTGTGTGTGTGTGTTTGTGTGTGTGTGTCAGCCATAAAAATTCTGTCCTAGTCACGCACCTGAAACGAAAGAAAACAAAGCTCAGTAAGTATAATGTCCCATTGTCTACATTTCTATTGGACCTTTAACTGTCTGTTTATCGATTACATTTTTAAAAACACCCATGAGCTTGGATTAGCATCTAGCTTTATTACAATACAGGAATCATCAATGAAGACCCATTTGTCTAAATTTGTCTTTCAACATCAACTGATTGTCTATTGAACACATTTTAGTACAGAATACCTTTCAAAATTATTACAAGCCTTTGCTTTAAGCCATTAAAAGTGTATTCATCTCAACTATTCTCCTGAAAAGTAGTGAAAGACATGAGACAATGACCTAGAAATATGTCTTTTTTATGTTATACATATAAATGTTTGTCATTTCTAAAGCGGCTGATACTGTATAGCGAACTAGCAGAAGTTAGACAAGAAAATTATCTCCAGTCGTTGAAATTTTGTTTTGTTAAAAGTCCACCAAGTGTTTATTTTTTTGATACAAAGTTCGTTTCAGTTTATGGCTCTCAAACTTTTGATATTTTGCCCCCCCCCCCCCCCCCGTTGTCAAATAACGTAGTTTCAACTCACTACAGGCTCGTTCATTTCGTTATAGTCCCCATCTCCAAGAAAATCGTCGAAATAAACTTTCTCCGTCGGCTCCACTCTCGCTTTAGATAAAATCTGTTTTGTCATTTCGCCCTCGGCAGCTGTTTAAAATATCTCATATACTGTGTCCATCGACTATGGGAAAAACTATTGGCAAGTAAAATGACATGACTAAGTTCCACCATTTGACTTCCACACAATAAAAACATTTCTGACAACACTTGATTCTTATCGCTTTCATCATGTGTATCTTTGACTTATGTGAAATATATGCTATCAGAGAAGCAGGGTGTTTTCCCGAATGGACACTTGCCCGAATGGGACATATGTCCGAACGGACACTTGCCCGAATGGGACAAATGTCCGAAAGCCAAATCAGCATTAGACACACACACACACTCAGCATTAGACACACACACACACACTCAGCATTAGACACACACGTACACTCAGCGTTAGACAGACACACACACACACTCAGCATTACACACACAGGAAAAAATCCATCGCTTGTCGTTTTTGTTATGAGAAGCCGAAATGCGATCATAATTGAAATGATTTGGCTCTTGAATTTCATCACACACCTAAAGTGAACAATTCTATTAATAGCAGTCACTCTTTATGTTGTTTTACATTTTGTTAAACCATCATTAGTGTCCCGCCTCATCAAAATATACTTTTTTTCTATTTTCTTTTGTTACAAGCTTTTTATTTTGTTAAGTTTATCACTAGTCGATCTTCTGAAGAAAAAAAAATATCTAAAAACAACAACGTGCTAATTAAAAAATGTAACAGAATTTTATTGTAATCAATATCACAGTTGCAGTTTATTCATTTTCAATAACCGACCACAGTATGGAATTACCAGTGACTAGATTAGGAGGTAGTTCCCAAACATTGTAAGGCCCCTGAGGGAGGAAGTTTTGCTCCACAAGGGTAAGGATTTGAAAACTGTATTGCTGCATGTTTAAGAATTGTAAAATTTATAATTAACATCTTCATTTTTAATTATCATGTTAATGTAAGGAGTTTGGCTGATGTGGGCGGGAGGGAGGGGGGGGGGGGGGGGGGCGTAGCTTACTTTGTAATTATAAATTTTTAGGAGGGAAGATCTGGGCAGTAATAATGAGTAACAACCAGTGTTTCATTCGTACTTTTTTTTTGGGAGGGGGGGGGGGCGGAGCACGTCTCCTTTTCCCCGCCCCTTCCTCCAACGACAAAATGAAGAATTACATAATTTCTGTTAAAAATATATTCTTTAATCATCGTGCACCCCTCCACCCCTCAACACTTGAAAGTTTCCCCCCTCACCCCTCCTTTCCAGATAAAATGTTTAAAAGTAGTCCTGATAACAGTAACAAGGGAGTTAGAAACATTTTTAAAGGTTTAGTTTATAGACCATTGATAGAAAACCTCTAAGACTACTAAGTATAAAAAGAATATTTAGAAGTATCACAGTTATTGTAATAGTATTGATTATAGGTGTTGTTTCAATAAACGCATCAATCTATATATATCCTTTACAATCTGGAGTTTCTTATTTTTTATCGCTTAGATATCTCACGATACATTTGAAACAAAATATAACGTTTCATTCAATGGTTAGTTAAATAGATCAGATGAAAAAAGTGTAAACAAACTTGATCCAAAATAAAATAAAATTATTTAGACAATAATACTGCTACATTTGGACACATTCATCCTGTTCTTTTCAAGTGTTGGGACTAAATCAAATATTTTAGAAATACATTTCACAAACATCATTGTAAATTTGGTCATATTCAACTCAATGCATGCGAAATAATTTTTTTTACTCTGGCCAATAATATTGTATACCTGGACACAATAAACTTATTTTAAAAGTTGAACCGAAAAGAAAACATTATCGCTAAACGTGAACATCATCAAATGAGTACAAGTCAAATTTAAAAAAAAATTAACCAACAATATTGCTAAACCTGGACACAGCTAGTAATGTTGTAGAATACGTGTAAGGTGCTGACGACCAAAAAGGAAAGAACCCAGACGGGTCATTGAACCCGTTGAAAGTCACAGGAGTCGGTTGACCAAAGTGGGTCTGGTTCAACATGGCGTCGTATCTGTCGGTGGGGATGTAGCCCTGGACCCCGTACAAGAAAGTGGAGTTGGGGAAGTTGGTCCAATCGTCGATGGCCGTCCCGTTGAGGTACTCGAGTCTGTTAGCGGGGTACCAGAACGGCATGGACTGGGGAAAGACAAAATACTTTGTATTACGGACATTCCTTGCAATTGTTATCAGTGTTTCTTTCAGATATAGTTCTCCGGGGAGGGGGGGGGGGGGGTTGCAACTTAAAAATTTTGTGAGGGGGGGGGGGGGGCACTTAAATATTTGGGAGGGGAGGACAATGGTTAAAAATATATTTTTATATATAATATATTTTTTTCTACTTCGTTCGAGCGGGTGGTGGCTTTATATTGGAGGTACTGCCCCCCCCCCCCCCCCCCCCCCCCCTAGGAGATGGCTGAAAGAAACTCTAATTATTATGGATGCCCCCCGAAACCCACAGCTATCGAACTAGATAACGGGTACTTTAGTAGTAATTAATAGCGTAAGTTAGTTTGGACCATACGCTCGAAGCATTCAATAAAAGGCGCCAGTGTGAGTTTTGTAAGGGTTACGGAATAAATTTTGTCACAATGAAACTTACAGCATAGCCTTTGCCAGACCCGGAGAAGAAAGCGTTCCAAGGTTCGTACTTTCCATCAGTGGTGTGTTCAACCAGCCAGTTGATACATCCGGTGATGGTCGTTAGGACTTGTGGGGGTAAGTCTGTGTCACAACATGGCAGAGAAGGGGTTGTGGGAGGGGGAGGAGAAAGATATTGATCAGGGTTGGTGAGAAAATTTAGGAAAATAAAAACTACAAAAAACATTTAGATAACGATATAATTCTCTTAAAATGTAAATAAAAGAAATTTTCTAATGCTTTTCTATTGTGAAAGTTCATACAATTTCATTCATATAATGTATCTATTAAGGTCAAAGTACGAAATCTATTATTCCAAAAAGTTCTTTATCGGAGACGGGAGGTAAAACACCATACCGCTTTTCCAATGGGATGTTTTTGTTTTCTCATCATAAACACTCCACGTGTACATCAAGGCGTTGGCCGCCATTGCTGTTGTAAAAATTCTGTCCTCGGCGTGAATCTGAAACGAAACAAAAAGAAAGCCCAGGAGGTATAACACTCCACTCTAAATGTTTTATTTTGAGCCATAACTAGCATTTTGTCAATTACACTTTTAAAACTCCCATTAGCTGAGATTATCTTAAATCTTCTTTGTGATTGATGTTTCTTTCAGACTTTTTTCTCCGTAGGGGGGGGGGGGGGACTTGAAATTATCGGGGGGGGGGGGGGGGTTGGACTAGATTTACTGGGGGGGTGGAGTTAGGGCGGTCACAAGTAAAAGTGTATATTTTTATATAAATTCTATTTCTAGGCATTCATCGAGGGGTCTCCATTTCCCCCCCGCCCTTCGAAGAGATGCCTGAAAGAAACTCTGGTGTAGATACATGTCTTTCCTCTAAGCCGTTGTATTCTGAAATAAGCTAATGTTTTTTTTATACATAAGCTGATGTGAAATGCTCATTTTTTAACATCCCACTCCTGCAGAGATCGTTGTATTAACGGCTACAAATAGTCATTAAAGACTTCTCTAAGAGGTAAAGTAGCCAGAGGGTTTAGAGTTCGAATACTTTTTAAGGGACGGTGTGGTCGGGTAGGAGAGAATATTATTTCTAACTCCAAAAGCCACAAGTTCAGAACCCGGATAGATGAGACTCGTTAACTGGGGATAGCAACACATCTAGGAGAGACAACTCCAAATTGAAACAAAGGCTGCCGTGTATATTGTTCTTGGGTTAACAAAGGCTATGGTAGAAAATCCAAAATGGAAACGAAGCTGAGGTGAACGGACCAAATGGCGCATAACCTATAGACAGGAAATACTTAATTGTGTTGCAGGAAATCTATTCTAAGATGATTTTACAAAATGATCCCAGGACAAAATATATCAGGACAAAAGATAACATGGACAAAATATCTCAGACAAAATATCACACGGCAAAATATTTATATTATTTAGGAAGCATTTAAAAACGAAAAAAATGTTTGTTTCAAAGGTTTGTCAGGTGGATGAAGCTAGATCATATTGTATTTCTATTGATGGGAGGTGGATGAAGGGGAGGGGGGCTTCATTAATTTTTATCAATATTAGGGGCAGTTATCTGTATTCTATGTAAATGTTATATTGTTATGTCAGTAAAAATATTGCCTTGTGTTTTAAGATTTTCAAACAATCCTTATGAGATATCATTTTTTACCGCAAATTGTTACTTGTACCATTGAGAAATTGAGAAAATCGACACATTCCCTTCCCCTTACATGAACTACTACACAGGTCTAGCACATCGTCGATAGTACATTCCAACACACCCATTAACGACGACACAATTCAACACCATAAAAACGGCAAGGGAATTTGTTCACATTCGTTCACTATCAATAGAAAAAGAACAAAGTAAATGAAAGAATTTATCATAGATAATTTCTAGTAAATAACACACAACACTATATAAACATACAACAAAATAATATAACACTGCTTTCCTTTTTTTTTACTCTCTGTGACCCCTCAAAAAAAAGACGTAGGACCCACTCACTATAGACTCGTTCCTGTGGTTATAGTCCCCATCTCCGAGAAAATCGTCGAAATAAACTTTCTCCGTCGGCTCCGCTCTCGCTTTAGATAAAATCTGTTTTGTCATTTCATTCTCAGCCACTGTTTTAAACATCTCATACACTGTGTCCATCGACTGTTGGGATGATATATATATATATATATATATATATATATATATATATATATATATATATATATATATATATATATATATATATATATATATACATATATATATATATATGTGTGTATGTGTGTGTGTGTGTGTGTGGATATGTGTATGTGTATATATCAGTAGGAAAGATTAGGGGTAGGAGTAAATGACGTTGCGTTTTTAACCTGTAGTAATGTGCTCTTGAATGAAACTTATGTAGTGATTCACTGAGGTCGTATATATTTAACATTTTAGCTAAGATTGTGTAGACTCACCGGAACAGGAAGTGTCCCCTTTCGTTTCGCTGTTTCCAGTTCCGTCAGTGTCCGGGCCACGAACCAGTAGAACTCGATCTGTGAAGGGTAGTAGGTCAAGGCCAGATCAGGTCGGTCGGTCAGGTTGTTTCTCACCTCGAATGTGATCAGGGATGACGTGTTCAGGTAGATTTGCTGGGAGGAATAATGTGTTTAGGGGTGGCGGTTATGTATCTATTTCTTTATATACACAGTAACAATATGAATGTATACTTATAAATTCTTAAAGTGCGAAAGATTATGTTGGATTAACATAAGTTAAAAGTACGAATTTCAGATCGAAACATCATTTATTTCGGTGAACTTTTTTTTAGTTCTAACGAAAAGATAATAATTAAAATTGTTACATGACTCGTGTTTCATATAACAGAGCAAACTTCGGATACTACGTAAGAATGGCGAAAATGTATTTGCTTAGCAATGGTGAGTTACAATAAAAAAAACATCCCTTATTGGAATTATAAAATACTAAGGTCAGGATTAATACAACCAGTTCGGTCATACCCTATCAGCCAAAACAATATTTTATGCCCCACCCCCCCCCCCCCCCAATACAATAGATATATGACGTCATCACCTCTAGCTCCGGATCTCTTAAAACATCTGGACTGACCAGGCCGGAGAGTATGGATGACGTCATGCCGTAGATGGTGTTGGCTGATACCGTGACGTCAACGTTGTTGATCTGGAAGGGCATGCTGACCCCCTGGTAGAACATGGTCCGCATTTCCTCAATGGACTGGATCTGTCGCGGAAAGGATTTGTACCAGTTTCATGTGTTTGCCAATGTAATGATTGCAAGCTTTATTGTAGTGGTTAGCACAAATTACGAACATAATGCAAAGCTCCACGGATATTATACACATACGTAATTAGTGTACCTTTTTTTTTACAAGATTTTATTTAATTTGATTCCAAATGTATCATGTCTTTGTGCTGGCTTCGTCATGAGTCAAAACTTACTAGCAAAATCTCAACCACTTCTTCCGTACTATTTTTGTTTTAATTTGGCACGTTGCTCATGACCCGATTACAATGTAAAAAAAAACGTTGACATAACTAGATGATTAATTTTTAAATTAATTTATGATTGCTACATAAGGTAGTATTTTTGCGTGTGCACGTGTTTTTAGATATGTCATATTTTCTTGCTGAACATTTTCAGAAACGCTTTGACGCTACGAAGGCCACATTTATCAATGCCGCGCGGTGTCAGGTAATACGAGCGAATTTTATCATTAACTTTCTCACATTTTATAATATCCCCCCACCCTCCCCTTCCACCTCCCAGATCGAGACGTACTTTAAAGACTGTCCCTATCGTCTATTGTGTAAAGAACTTTCACATCTCTAAAACCTACCCATGTTGGTACCAGTGCCACGTCTTTGCCTTCAGACTCAGCCTGGTCCAAAAATTTCCTAATGTACAAATATGTCCTGGGGTCGATTGTGTTTTGATTGGGATCACTAGAGAAAGGTCTATAGGCGTATTTCTTTAAGGCGTCGAATGCTGGTTGGATAAAAAAAATTAAAAATTGGTGATCATAATTCGAATGCAAAGAGGCGACCATGTTTTATTTAATACGAGCCGACCCGCTGCGTATCATACGCCGCTATTTAGTTGTTTTTTTCTACTTTTCAGTAATTTTTAATTTGTGAATTCGACAGTACCAATGCTGCCATTGAAAATATTTGCTTAAAAACACTACCCCCCCCCCCCCCCCCCACGTGAAAGCAGCCTCCTTTTAGTTACCTCCTTTAAGTTTAAAATCGTTTCAAACTAAATTATCTGCCCCTAATAGCCGTCACCAAACCCGTCTCTGTGATTGTAAAATGTAAACAGAGTGAACACCGCTCACCAGATCATGTGGGGGTGGGGTGGGGGTGGTAGTGATAGTGATAGAGAGGAAGAGAGGGGACTGCAAAGGCGCGCTTGCAGCTTGTTTTCTAACTGATCCCAGAAGAGAATTATATATATAGATAATTGAATTAAGACTACAACTTGTGTTTAGTTTACAAAGTCTAACACTGGTAAAATATAAGAGCAGTATACAAAATTTGAATAGATGGTGAGTTAGCCGTTAAATAGCTAAAGCTGTGTAGGTAAATTGTGTGGTAACCTGTACAGATAACTGCTTGTAATTCATAAATAAATAATGCTAAAGATATATTATTTCAGTTTCGTTTTACGAAAGGTGCTAGTTGTAGTGTTGTGGATGGTGGGTAAAGTAAAGTGAAGTAAAAGTCTCCTTCAAACCTGATGGTCTATGGGGCAAGTGAAGTAGAGTTCACAGGTTTCTGTAACCTCCGCATATGAAGGGATAGTGTGGTCAGCATTGTGAATAGACAACTTTACTTTCCCTAACGTGAGTTAGGTACCCATCAGTGCTGGGTGTACACAGGGACGGTATACTGACTTGAACCCGGATTCGAACTCGAGACTTACGGGTTAGCAGACTAGCTCTCTACAGATAGTCCCATCAATGGTGGGTAGGTTGTAGTAAAATTTTTCGAAAGAAAATTAATTATCCCTAAAACAGGTCTCGTATATATATATATATATATATATATATATATATATATATATATATATATATATATATATATATATATATACATATACATATATATATATATATATATATATATATATACATATACATATATATATATATATATATATATATATATATATATATATATATACATATATATATATATATATATATATATATATATATATATATATATACATATATATATATATATATATATATATATATATATATATATATATATATATATATATATACATATATATATATATATATATATATATATATATATATATATATATATATATATATATATATATATATATATATATACATATACATATATATATACATACATATATATATACATATATATATATATATATGTATATATATATATATATATATATATATATATATATATATATATATATATATATATATATATATATATATATATATATATATATATATTAATGGTCAGCTAGCCAGACTAATTCGTAAACATAGTAACAAGGTAATCAAGACAACCGAACCAGATAACCAATCTACAGTCTAACAAGACAATAAACCATTTAAAATGCAAGCTGAGTTAGTGTTCGTTTTACCGGAAGTGATGTTGGTGTTCTGGGAACTCCACAGCTGCCAGCCAGTCTGGAACTGGTCCCTCATCTGGTACAGCAATGACCCGAGACCCAGGTTGACGAATGTGTCGTCAAAGTCTGGCGGGATGTGGAATGCCATCAGGAAATCTGTCCTTGGGAAACAAAAGAATGGGGTTATTAACCTTTTGTGAGAATAAGCTTTAACCATCACAGTGCTTGGGGCAGTAAAACAAGCTTAAATGATAGTGGAAACAAAAACGTAGCCAGTGTATAAAGTAAAAAAGAAAATTTTCCTTTTTAGGCCTAACGATCCATTGGACAGATGAAGTGGAGTTCATGTTTCTTGACCTCGGGATATTAAGGGATAATGTGGTCAGCACTAAGCCCAGCCACCTTTACTTTCCCTAATGCGAGTTAGGTACCCATCAGAGTTGGGTGGACTCAGGGACGTTCCAATATCTTGAACGCGGATTCGAACTTGAAACTATCGGGTTAGCTTTCTAGCGCTCCACCGCTAGGCCACGCCGTCCCACGTAGCCAGTGCATAATCCCCTAAATTGACAACTAGTGTTTGCAATTTCGTCCTCTAACATCATATACTAATAATATTTCGTATCTCTTATTTGTTGTATACATCATAAAGTAAATATTTGAATGTACCGCGATTCTGGCATGATATAATAAATCGAATACACTATATAAGAGATGTAATGAGCTGACAAAGCTTTTATTAAAGGATCAAGTTTGTTTTATTTTCTATCGTCAGTGCATTTAAAAGCTTACTATTATAATGGCGTAGTGATGACAACAATACCCTTCATATGCCGATGTCACACAAGCAGGAGAATTCTACGTCACTTGCCCCACAGTGAGACGCTGTGGACATTACTTTTCTTGGCAAGTAACGAAAAGTTGTTAACAAAAATAAACCGGGAGTGATCTCCCCTAAACTTTCTCGAATATTCTAATATAACACTACGGGGAATGGCAACTCGGGATATATACATTATTTTCAATCCACTTTAAATACTTCAACTTTTTAAAATAGAATAAAACTTCGTAGAAAAAAGAATTGCACACCAAGTGAACGCCAAATAAAGATGTGCATAATAATGCGCAACATTATTAGTACTTTATAAATTTACGTGCGTTTTTTGAGAAATCGGAAATAGTGTAAATTAGTACTTCCATTCAACGGAAATTACTCAAAATTTGAAAGAAGGTAGAGAATTAAAGCTTTTACTTACATGTGAAATTTCATTTATCTATCTGAAATAGTACTCAAGTTATAGGCTTTTGAAAAATTCAAAATAGAAAAAGTACCACTTCCGGTTATCGGAAATCGCTCAAAAGTTGATACGGATCTACGATTTTGATAAAATACTTGTATATGAAATTTCATCAACCTATCTGTAACGGTACTCAAGTAATCGTGTATACACACAGACACACAGACACACAGACACACACACAGACAGACATACGGACAAGATTTCAAAATTATGTTTTTCCGTATCAGTGAGGTATAAAACGTCGAGATTTGTAAAAATCTCGATTTTTTTTGCACTATTACAATACTTTCTCTATACTTCGTATATACGAGAAAGTAAAAATTAAAACTCACTTTTCACTTATAATAGCATCTATATCTTTGGCCAGGTTACTCAGCCCCAAAACTTTGAGAAACGCTTCTAGCAAATTCAGGGGTACTTCGTCTACCATCTGAAATGCGCCCTGAAACGATGAAAGTAATCGTGAACTGTTACATTGAGCTAACAAGTGAAAGGTTATTAGAAGAATAAATGGATTTGAACGTAATGAGTTGATGAAGGGGCGCTTTAAAATTTTGTTTTGTATAAAATTAAAGAAATTAGATAAAGAAAAAAGAAAAAAAAAACATTTTTAGATTAAAAAAGGATTATAGAAGTGTGAGGTCATTTTTTTCAGATGATGTCAGACGAAAGAAGGGGGGGGGGGGGGTAAAGGAAAATAAAGGAGTTTGAACGTAATTATTTGATTAAAGGGACTCAAAAATGTGTTGTCGTTTGTTAAATGAAGAAATAAATTTAAAAACAAATAAATACATTTGTTTTTAAATTAAAAAATGGACTGCAAAATGGTGAGTTTATTTTTTGGTTGGTTTTTTCAAATGACTTAATGACTAATGGAGAGGCATACAACCTACCTAAATATACACGTTTGCACTTAGTACAACCACTGTTGTAAAATTATAAGACATTTTGTGTAAGCTGCAGTTCTTTTAAAAATGTAATATTTTTCCAAGACCCTGATTTATTATATTGTTCAATATTAAATAAGTGCGCACATGGTCTTTTATATATTAGGATTTCTTTTTCTGGCTAAATCAGCCTTGCTAGTAAAAATTTGTCAAACTTTAATTAGCACTTCGTTAAGGGAAACAACTCAATAATTATTAAAACAAAGAACAGCAAATCGGGTTTGGAGAAACTGAACTCATATTATTATTTATTTTGGGGGGTTTATGCCCAGGGGGTTTATGTCTAAAGTTTTTTTGAACAGACACCCTTATCATGGGATCGGGTCTGAATTTTTGTGACAATGTGTGACGATGAAAACAAAAATGGGAAGGTAGTGAAATCGACTGTAAAATGTGTGACTTTATTGGCGTACGATCGCTATGTTTGAAGATGTGAAGTTTTTTTAGTAACAACAAATTGATTATAGGAAGGAGTGGGTCTCCGTATAGCTATATTTTTAATGCTATCACTTACACCGTTAAAGTAATAGTTAAATTATTTTTCGTTTGATAATTACAGTTAGGATTTAAATTTACGTTAGGGTTAGGTGACATTGAGGTATGCGTTAATCGAAGGCGAAATGGTACCCCCTAACGGAAAAGTGTCCGTATACTGACCACCAGGTTTTCTGGAGTACACTGCCAGACTTTGAGCGTTTGGTTGTAGACCTGGGGCCAGAAGGACATGGTGGACGTGTTGTATGGCTTGTTCTTGTCGTGGTAGTTTTGGAACACCTGGAGATAAAGGCATACAAGGCATAGAGCTATTGTAGTGTAGACTGCCTGAAGGGACAAATACCTTACTCATTGAACCCTACCATATGTTATTAAAGGAATTTATGTGGAGTCTAAGGACTAAAGAATATCTCGTAACTATCAGGGATTCCGTACTCTCTGTGGGAATATCGGTTTCTTTAGGAAACCTACGGTCTTCGCGAGGAATCTCTGGATTATATGTTGATTGTCGGGATTATGGAATCTCTTTTAGGTATATTGGATTAATTTGGAATCTCTGAATTATATTTGGATTCTCGGCATTATGGAATCTCTTTTTGGTATATTGGAACTAAATTTGAAATCTCTGAATTATATTTGGATTCTCGGCATTATGATTCTAGGTATATTGAAATTCAATCTGGAATCTCTGGATTATTATGTGAACTCGAGATTATTTAGAATCTCGGGACTGTGAAGAATCTTGCAAATCTCAGCACTATAGGGAATATTGGACACAGCTGGGAATGTGCCGGAGTTTATAAGGAATATCGGATAAGGAATCTCGGTGCTCAATGTGGAATATCGAGATAATTGATAATTTAGGGACTGCAAAGTGAAATCTTGAATACAATTTTTACTGTGATTTATAAAGAATATCATGTCATAAATTGTCGTTATATAATATTTGTACAATCCTTCTCAATATATATCACGATACACTTCACGAGCACCCACGTTCAAAGACAGCTCCATCTGAGCGTCGGAAAGTTTCGGAGCGTCGCCATACTTGAAGGCCTCGAGCAGGGAGGTAGTGACCCAGGCAGTGACAAACATGTTGTTGTCGAAGACAGACAGGAGCCGGCGCGCCTCTGTCATGTCCAGAGGGCCGTTAAAGTTGATCTTGACCCCACTAGTGTATACGCCCTTGGCGCGATGCCATTGTCTGAATGGAATGTAAGGAACCTCGGTCTGAATCTGTGGTTGAGATGTAAGATGAGGCTCATTGTTAGGGGTAAATAAATAGTTTTTTGTATTCAATGAATGATAACAAAGGATTATAAATTATTCTACTTCGCCTTTTTCAATTCCCAATAGAGCTGGTAAGTAGGTCACCAAACCAGTTCTATGACTTATGCAGGTTTTATTGAGCCGTAGAACTGGTTGGTGACCTACTTACCAGCCCTATTAAGCTTAGGCAATTTACAGCGTTTTTCGCGTGTTTTTCCTCCTTTTCCCCTGTTTTTTTTATTTCAAACTTTTAAATAATAATGGTATTTCAATGTCTCTACATCAGATATGATTATAATGTGCTATGTAATAAAAGAACAATAAAACTATTGAATATGCAAAAAGGCGGCAAATAAATTTTGACTTTAATTAAGTGGTCTTGTCGAGAAACCTCAACATTATGGAGTAATTCATACGTAATAAAATCACAATTAACACACACTTTTACTAGATCTAGTACAAAATTTATTCAGTTTTATTTAACCTCAAAGATTGTAAAAAAAAATTAAAAATACTAAGGTTATAAACTATGAATTAGCACACAAAATGGAAGAGGTAAGAACAGCCTCTAGGAAGTAAAATTCGATAAAGTTGAGTACACACAGCCTACCTGATCTTCTGAGATCATCTTGAACAGTCTCTCAACGAACGTGCTTGTGATCTTAAACTTGGATGTGTCAGTCGCTGCAAGTACTAGGCTACATGTGCTCAATGTCAACAGCAAGCTGAGGCTTAGAGCGGCCATGTTGTCTTTCCCCACTGAAGACTATATATATATATATATATATATATATATATATATATATATATATATATATATATATACATACATATATATATATATATATATATACATATATATATATATATATATATATATATGTATATGCATATATGTATATACACACATTTGTGTGTTTGTTTGTGTGTATGTGCGTGTGCGCGCTTGCACGATTCTAATGCTAAACTTTGTGTTGTCCTCCTGACTACATACGTTGATATAACGTACTGTATGTGCTTATATAAGAACTGCATGTGCTTATATAAGGTACTGTATGTGCTTATATAAGGTACTGCATGTACTTATATAAGATACTGCTTGTGTTTATATAAGGTACTACAAGTGTTAATATAAGTTACTGCATGTGTTTATATAAAATACTACAAGTGTTTATTTTAGATCCTATATGTATTTATATAAGATACCACAAGATACCACACGTGTTTGTATAATATACTACATGTGTTTATACAAGATACTACATGTTTTTATATAAGATACATGTATATATATATATATATATATATATATATATATATATATATATATATATATATATATATATATATATATATATATAATACTAGTCTAGTATTACCATAACTACATTTTTTTTTATAAAACTACTTATATAGTAAATACTATACTTATATAGAAAATCATGAATAAAGGTTGATTTTTTTTATTTTATTTATTAATTTAATAAAAAAATTGATGAGAAAAAAATAACAATCGTAACTATATGCCCAATTAAAAGAAAATTCTTCAAATTATCTCAACTCGTAAACAAGTATGAAAGTCAATGATTAAATATATAAATGTAGTGTAGAAACTTAGTAAGTAATGTGTACTATTCACATCTGTTTTATGGATATATGATATTGTTTATATTTATTGCGTTTACTTACTTAAATACCTACTTATGAAATATTGTGTTTTTCAATCCGGATTTTTATGAGTGAGTCCCGGCCAAACCACACATATCAAATACGTGATCTGAATGAAACGAAGAAAAGATAACGTAACAACGTCAAAGAAATTTGCATTGCTATCTTATCATATTAAAGCTGCAAATACACCGAAGAGATAATAATTAAATCGAACTGTATTTCGTCATTAACAAAACTAAATATATATTTGACCAGATATAATTATTTTTAACCACATTGTAATAAAAGAATATTAAGAATATTTTACGCGAGTTGGTATACGACCAATTATGAGGCGCCTAACACAGCGATTACACTTACGACAAGTAGGCTTGTAGTATACATGTCTAGGAAAAAAACTCTCAGCAAATTAATGGTATATGGAAAAAAAATTCCCGAGGAACATGTATACTAACTTGTTGCGAGTTGTTGTTTTTTCTAGACGTCGCAAGTGTAAATGTGTTTAAGGGATAACTTTCTTAATAGGGCCGGAAATTGAGTACACGCTGAGGATAGGTAAGATACAGAAAACACGGTTACCATACTATTAGGCTGGATCAAAGAGGACATCAAAACGTTGAGCGATTGAATTCGTCGAAATATATTTCTACTTTAGTGCCCAAGACACGTGGGACAGATGAAGTAGAACTCATCTTTCAATCATACTAGGGTATATAATGAGATAATGTAATATAGAAGTGAGTAAAATACCCTTTTAAAGAAGATTGTCTTTGGATCATGTGAAGTAGAGTTCATCTATTTCCTAGGAACTTGTCTGTAGAACGTCCCTGAGTTCACTCAGTTCTAATAGGTACCTGACTCACGTTAAAAGAAGCAAATGCTGCTGGGCATAATGCTGACCACACTATCCTTTCATTAACCGGGGTCACTGAAACAGAGTAATGGGATCGCGTGTAGCCTACACTTTTACCATTGTCTCTTTCCACCTCCCCACCCCCCCCCCCCCCCGGGAGGGATTACACTTTCTTTTAAAATTTAAATAACTTTGAATACTTTTACTAATGTATGCTCCACCTCCCCCCCCCCCCTCCACCCACACCCCTGGAGGAATTAGAAAAAAATGTGTAACTCAAATAACATTGTATACTTTTATTAGTCTTACCCCCCCCCCCCTTCCGACCCTTTCCCCGAAAGTTTCCAGTGCCCTCCCTCCCCCAGGTGAAAAACGTCTGAAAGAAACCATAGTATAAGTTAAACTACTGTAATCTAAACCTTACTGACCAAACATATTGAAGATGAGAGTAAGATAGAAGTAAGAATTAAATATCAAAACTTACTAGGGAAAAAACTAACTAAATCACTATAAATCAAACCGCGGAAACCGCTAATTGAAAAATAAACTACTGTTACGTTGAGAAAAAAATACCGGGTCTAATTAAATATGAAGTTATCACCAAAACTAATCTCTTAATTCGATTGAATATCAGGTCATGACCGAAATCAAGTCCAATTGATAAACTAGGTGATGACCTACTTTTGTTATCGAACTGTGGTATACGGACGTTTAACACATTACAAAAGTACATTTTTAAAAAAAGCGTTTTAAAAAGATAACGTGTTTTTCATGCTGTTATTTATAGCAGTGTGTCAATACAAACTTTCTGAATATGGGTTTAGAGCCTTAAGTCTTTGTAGGAATTGTGTGCCTGTTTTAGTACTTAACTACACATGTTATTGAAGTGTGTAGGTTTATTTTATGTGTGCGTTTAGTTAAGATTTGTTTAAATATATATGGGACATTAGTACCAGTTGTTAAGATATCAGCAAATGTACTTTTTACTGTTCACGACTTTAAAAAAAAGTAAAGCCCATCTTTAGACCTGGGTAGGTGACGCAGAGTTCATATGTTTGTTGACCTCGGCATGTAAAGGGATAACATGGTTAGTACTTTGGTAAGCCGCCTTTACTTTCCCTAACCTGAGTCGGGTACCCATTAAAGCTGAGTGGACTCAGGGACAACCTTCAGTCAAAATTCCTAACTCGAGACCATCTGTTTAGCAGTCAAACGCTCTACCATTCGACCGTCCCATTGTTAACGACGTATTTAAGTGTATTTAGGACATAAGTATTAATATTTCAAACATCAGTAATGGTGATTAGACCGAGAGTTTGTGTATTTCAGATCATGAAATTGAATTTAAGATTTTATATTTAGGACTTTATAAAGTTATTTAGGACCTAATTAAGTTTAGAATCTTGTAAATATACTTGAAACTTCACTAAGTCGTCGAGTTGATGCTTTTGTTGTTAATAAGGCTGGACAAAGAGTACCTTAACTTTCGAACAACTGACTTAATTAAACATTTAGTCACTCTCTTGTCTCTAAATTAGTTATATAGATAATTAATGTATTGACGTTTTAAAATGTAATAACACTTACCTTTTTTTCTCTCCTACGTTGATTGCCTTATAAGTTAATTATATTTTAATAAGATACGAACACTAGTTCACATTTTTCTGTTTTAGTGTTACCCTTTGACATTCGCATGCTTCAATACATTCCGGATGTTAGACTGATTAGTCACCCGATTCGAACTTTGTCATTTTAAAAGAACTTTGGAAAAAAAAAATACTGGGTTTAGTTACTTAAGGTAAATGTTTTTAAAGACATGGAAAGAGTTCGACTGATGAATGTCTATTTTTGACACTACTGAGTAGAACAATTAACAAAACTTTAGCCCTGTTAAACACATGTGTACATTTCGAACGAGGAAAAAGAATTTCGTGTAAACAGTCAGTATTGTTTGTTACTTGGCCTGTTAAATTGTTCTTCACTTGTGACATGTATTTTTTATTGTGTAAGTTATGTGTTTTCGTGTGTTTTATTGGGCAACACAGATATACATGTGTCGTAATTGTTGTGTGTTATTTAGTGTCACAGCAATGTTTTGTGTTGGTATTTGTTTTGTAGTGTGCTAGCCTGGGTTACAACGCTGTGATGTGTCATGTGTGTTGTGTGTTATGTTATGTGTCGTGTGTGTTATTTGTCGTGTGTGTTATGTGTCGTGTGTGTTATGTGTCGTGTGTGTTATGTGTCGTGTGTGTTATGTGTCGTGTGTGTTATGTGTCGTGTGTGTTATGTGTCGTGTGTGTTATGTGTCGTGTGTGTTATGTGTCGTGTGTGTTATGTGTCGTGTGTGTTATGTGTCGTGTGTGTTATGTGTCGTGTGTGTTATGTGTCCTGTGTGTTGTATGTTGTGTGTGTTATGTGTCGACTGTGTTATATGTAGTGTGTGTTATGTGTCGTGTGTGTTATGTGTCCTGATTGTTGTATGTTGTGTGTGTTATGTGTCGACTGTGTTATATGTAGTGTGTGTTATGTGTCGTGTGTGTTATGTGTCGTGTGTGTTATGTGTCGTGTGTGTTATGTGTCGTGTGTGTTATGTGTCGTGTGTGTTATGTGTCGTGTGTGTTATGTGTCGTGTGTGTTGAGTGTCGTGTGTGTTATGTATCGTGTGTGTTATGTGTCGTGTGTGTTGTATGTTGTGATTGTTATGTGTCGTGTGTGTTATGTGTCGTGTGTGTTATGTGTCGTGTGTGTTGTAGGTTGTGTTTGTTATGTGTCGACTGTGTTATATGTAGTGTGTGTTATGTGTCGTGTGTGTTATGTGTCGTGTGTGTTATGTGTCGTGTGTGTTATGTGTCGTGTGTGTTGTATGTTGTGTGTGTTATGTGTCGTGTGTGTTGAGTGTTATGTGTGTTGTGTGTTGTGTTAAAATATTACATCAGTGTTACGTGTTGGCCTGTTTGGAGTCCTGTGTTAGAATATTACATCAGTATCACGTGTCGTGTGTGTTGTGTGTTGTGTTAAAATATTACATCAGTGTTATGTGTCGGCCTGTTTGGAGTCCTGTGTTAGAATATTACATCAGTATCATGTGTCGTGTGTGTTGTGTGTTGTGTTAAAATATTACATCAATGTTATATATCCGTGTATATTGTGTGCTGTTATATGTCGCGTGTGTTTTGTGCGTTGTCTGTTATTTGTCGTATGTGTTATGTGTCGCGTGTGTTATGTTTCGCGTGTGTTATGTTTCGGTTTGTTTTGAGTGTTAAGTGTCTTGTGTGTTGTGCCCGGTGTTAAAATATCACATCAGTGTTAAGTGTTTACTTGTGGCTTATCTACGCTCCACAGTGCTGTATATGTTTATATCTAAGTTCCTATTCCAAGTTACGACAATCAGTTACATGTAACTACTATATAAAGTGTGTGTTACAGCAGACATATTGAACTGAGGGGTTTAAATAATAAGACCCACATGCCCGTAATATAAGCTCTCTTCTTTCAAAAGATACGTGGAGAGTATCTTTTTTAATGAATTACTCAGCATGACGTACTACTGGTAGTTATTGCCCCTTGACCACATATTTCTCCTATCAATGAGATAAATAAACTCTTATTGATAATACATTGTCTCTAAACACAACCAATCCTTGTCTTTTATTTAGCTAAACAAAACTTACTCTTATCGTATTCTTAGCCTTAGCATGTCCATCTATAGTCCTAACGGTTAACATAACACTGACCCTGTATGTTACATCAAACATATATTGAACTGTTTGTATTAAATAATAAGACCCACATGCCTGTAATTGTAATCTTTAGCCCTAAAGGTTAACGGAGATTTTTACCCCCCCCCCCCTCACGTCCGTCACATATCGTCACAAAAAGCCAGAACCCCCCCCCCCTTAAAATGATGTCACACCTCAGCCTACAACACCCCCCCCCCCCTCAAAATTGCCGTTAAATTTTTCTTAAAATACTATATTTTTAAAACCTTTTATTACACCCACTTCCTCTGTCTGTCTGTCTAGATCGAAACGCCGGAGCGAAAATTCGGACACTTCTAACTAACAGATACTGTTCGTAATTGGTACGTGGGTCAAGACATGAAGACAATGCATCGTGACATTAAATTTGACTTAATTGGTCGCCTAATTAATTTTTTATGAATTAATTAAAATTACTTTCTTTAAATATATGAATGCACTACTATTTATATCACTATAATTAAACGCGTGGGCCGCTATAATAATAAGTATTTAAACAAGCGACCCACGCTTTAAATTATAGTGATATAAATAGTAGTGCATTCATATATTTAAAGAAAGTAATTTTTTTTATATAAAGTAACCGCAGATTTTTAAAAATATATATATATTTAATAAAAATTGTATTATTTTCTTCTTTTAGTGCATTTATAAAAGCTTGTAATTATAAACGTTTTTATGTATTTATTATTCCAAAATCTTATCTGAACTCAGTCAACATAGAGTATTTTAATCCATTCCTATTACAATTTATAAAAACAGTTTTCTAAAACGCGAAATAACAGCTAATATTCGTTTTCTAACATTCATTTTTTTATAATGCAAAAGTGTGACGTCTCACCATCTGAACCCCCCCCCCTTTTTTTCCCCTCATCACACACCGTCACAAAATTACAGATCCCCCCTCCCCCCTACGAGTGTGACGTCATTTATGGATGATTCCTTTATAGAAAGTCCACTTGAATGGGGACCCTAGTGCCAAAGTGTATTGTATAGTTAAGTTTCCTTTTCAAACCTTGAAGGTCTATACGGCAAGTGAAGTAGAGTTCACCTCTTTCTGTGAAACCTTAAACCTTTCTGTTGTTTTGTTCTTTTTTTTAGATTAAAGCCAAAATTAACTCAGATCATAGTTTGAAATAAATAAGAACTTTGAATATTTCAAATTTTTAAAAGCTGAAACATTGTCTGTTTTAATCCATAGGATTTGGCGATTGAACACATCAATGGCGAGCTGTTTGTTTCTTAACCAGTGCCAACTCTTTTTGTACTCGTTTTTAAAAAACTTATTTTTAGAATCCCGCTTCCTCAAATTAATACGTATGTAATCAATTATTTTTTTGTTGTTTTATAAAAATTATCGTGCTTAATTAAGTTTTTCAAAAAAAAAAGTAATAATGAAACAAGCTTAACTAATCAAAACAAAAATAATAATTTTATTAGAATTAATATCACATCAATGTATCCATTTTCATGCTGTCATTAATCGACAACAATAATTAATTAACAACGACTAGATTTTTTAAACAAATTAGCCAAAAATATTGCTAAATCTGGACACAGTTGAGGTATTTCAAATATCGAACCAAAACAAAACAGTGATGACTAACCGCGCAAGTGTTGAAAAAAAAAACACATAATTAACCAACAATATTGCTAAACCTGGACACAGCGAGTAATGTTGTAGAATACGTATAAGGTGCCGACGACCAAAAAGGAAAGAAAGTTGTTGGGTCATTGAACCCGTTAAATGTTATAGGGGTCGGTTGGCCAAAGTGGGTCTGGTTCAACATGGCGTCGTATCTGTCGGTGGGGATGTAGCCCTGGACCCCGTACAAGAAAGTGGTGTTGGGGATGTTACTCCAATCGTCGATGGCCGTCCCGTTCAGGTACTCGAATCTGTTTCCTGGGTACCAGAACGGCAGTGACTGAAATAAAAACGACATTACTTTGTATTACGTATAGTTTGCAATTGGTATGTGTAAGACACAAAAAGCCACATATGTATCAAATTAACACCAATCTTTGTTACAATATAATATGAAGTGGTGGTGTTTTGTGAGGCCGGTGTTGTGGTCTACGTCTAAGGCCTATAACTCACTTGCCCGATTATATGTTTGCCAGAGTGGATGTTTGCCCGAATGGGACAAATACCTTAAAAACGTTTACCCGAAAAAGTGTATGATATTACAAATGATCAAGTACAATTTATAAATGTATTTTTATTTGATATTTAGATATTTAAAAATTGTTGTAAATAAAAAATCTTTTTTTTTTAAATAAATGATGTAACATATGTAAAATATTTTAGTTTTAATTTATTAAGTATTGATACAAAAACACTTATATATATATATATATATATATATATATATATATATATATATATATATATATATATATATATATATATATATATATATATATATATTAAACGATGTTATAAGCACCTAGCTACGTTCACTTATCGCGATGGTTATAAACGGACAACTTCTTTCGAACTAGCCAAACTAAAGAAATCAATCATTTGTATTCAAGCCATTAGTCACAAAAGATGTTAAATATAAGGTCTAGTAAACGGTCAAACTAAAAAAAAAAGTGGATCCCACTCAATTCGCGATAATAAAAACACGCCATTTTAAAAATATGTTTAAACAGAAAAAAACCATTGGCGACCGTACGAATTTTGAAAGCGATAAGGTATTGAAAAACTTACAGAATAGCCTTTTGCAGAGCCGGAGAAGAAAACGTTCCAAGGTTCGTACTTTCCATCAGTGGTGTGTTCCATCAGCCAGTTGATACATCCTGTTATGGTCGTTAGGACTTGTGGGGGTATGTCTGTGTCACAACAAGGTAGAGAGGGGGGTTGTCGGTGGGGGAGGGGAGAAAGATAACGATTGTATTATATAATTGGTTTGTGATAAAATTTAGGAAACAACAACTGTTACTGTCTATTAGATGGAAAAGATCAGTTGTCAGTTAACTAGAAGCAGCTGTAATATCGTGGGCCCAACTTGGAGGAATCGTTCGAATATGAGCACGATGAAGAGGTGTTGTTGCGTCACTCTGCTTGACAGTTGGTCCACAGGAATGATGATGATGATGATGATGATGATGATGATGATGATGTTGATGATGATGATGATGATGATGATAAGGCAGTGTGCATTAAAAATGGTTATTCGAGATATTTTGTTCTTTGCTGCAAAATGTAAGGCATTGTGTAGAATTCTTGCATTCCTCATTTGGTGTATAAGATAACGAATTTAAAAAATTAAGTAAGAAAATAAGGAAACATATTCGATTTGTAGGCCTACACCGAAAGTGTGACACCGTACCGTCCTTCCAATGGGATGTTTTTGTTTTCTCATCATAAACACTCCACGTGTACATCAAGGCGTTGGCCGCCATTGCTGTTGTAAAAATTCTGTCCTCAGCATGAATCTGAAACGAAACAAAAGAAAGCCCAGCAGGTATAATTCAAATTAAACATCCCATTGTCTTTGTTTCATTTCTTCAACCGCAAAAGGCTTTTATCGATTACAGTTTTAAACTCCCGCTAGCTAGGATTATTTAAAAGCGTTATTGCAATACATGTCTTTACTTATAGCTGTTTTGTTCTAATATTAACTGTGAGCCACTTATCCCCTAAGCTATTGTGGGAATATCCTTTTCTTAACATACGAAACATGAAGAGATATTTGTATTAAAGTTAGGTCCATAATGTGTTATTGGAGACTTCTCCGGTATGTTTTTAATAAGTAAAGTATAAGAAGATTTAGGGTTTGAGTTTTGTATAGGGGACGGTGTGGTCGGACGGAAGAGCGTATATTTGCCAATTCCAACATCTAACGTTCGGACCCCGGACATATGAAGCTCTTTACCTAAAGACGCCAACATATCTAAGACACAATACTCTAAAACCAAAATTGCTGCATTGCAAATTGTTCTTACGTGGACAGAGAGTATGGAAACAAATCCAGATAAGTAGCCTAAATCGGACAAAAAGTCATTCGGCGAATAATAAGTACCTCTTACAGACTCGAGTCCGATATCCGAACACTGCTTTCGTGATATATGACATATATAAGCTCACTTAAGTCTCCATTATCATTTGAACCTTAGACACAAATGACGTAGGACCCACTCACTATAGACTCGTTCCTGTGGTTATAGTCCCCATCTCCCAGAAAATCGTCCAAATAAACTTTCTCCGTCGGCTCCACTCTCGCTTTAGATAAAATCTGTTTTGTCATTTCGCCCTCGGCAGCTGTTTTAAACATTTTGTATACGGCGTCCATAGCCTGTGTGGAAAAGACACACATTTTATATATATATATATATATATATATATATATATATATATATATATATATATATATATATATATATATATATATATATATAAGCTGTGAAGATCCATGGTAAGAGTATACGACGCTTGCGCTTAAAAAGGAGTTAGATTAATATGAAACGAGTTCTGTCGTCTTAGTTCCTCAATACCCAACACTGGATCGTGCAAAAAATGCAATGATATCACCTATTGTGTTGAACTTGACTTCATAAATACATCCAGTATAGCAAGTCGAGTTTAAGGGCGGTAAATGAGTAACACATTCAGACCATAGGTTCCATAAAGCTAGAGTTCCTCTATTTCTGGGACCTCGGGATGTAAAGGGTTAGTGTGATCAGTACTATGCCCAGAGCTGGGTACACTCAGTAACGTTCTACGGAAACGAACGTGGGATCTGAGACTTTCAGACAAGAGTCGGAAGCAGAGATAAAATGAACGGTACTTTAATTAGCAGTTTAGGGGTTGGCATGGTCGAGTCGGTAAAGCTCATGTTTGCTAAACCGAAAAGTCTCGAGTTCGAACCCTCGGGCAGATGAGGCTCGTTAGCTGGAGACAGCCACTCTTCTAGCAGAGACAACTCCAAAATTAAACAACTGCTGCCTTGTAGTTTGTTCTTGGTTAGACAAAGGCTATGGAAGCAAATCCAAAGAGAAACGCAGGTTGAAAACGGAGTCAATGGCCTCAATGGCGCATAACAAGTTAACATGTATCCTTAATTGTGTTGGAGGGGGATCTCTTCCAACACTAAAATAAAGAACGAAGAAAAAGAAGAAATTAGCAGTTTGACTAGCTGTAACACGGTGCGCGGACCTTTGACCACAGGTGCTTTGACCATAGGGGGTTTGACCATAGGAGGTTTGACCACAGCGGAGCTTTGACCATAGGGGCTTTGACCATAGGGGGTTTGACCACAGCGGGCCTTTGACCATAGCGGTGCTTTGACCATAGGGGGTTTGATCATAGGGGGTTTGACCATAGGGGGTTTGACCACATGTGTTTTCTCAGCAGAGGGTGTTTGATCACAGGTGGTCTATCCACTGGTGTTTGATCACAAGCGCTGTGTCCGGCTTTGATCATATTTGTGATACAATTAACACGATTTCATACATGTTTCCTGAGAGTACGTTAATAGAAATTAACATGTATTTAGAAAAAGCCAAGAACTATATTTTAGTCTCCACATAAAGGCTGGTGCTAGGCCTCATAGATTTATGTTAAATATAAATGAAACACAAATAATGCTACATATAACAAGTTTCACAAATAAATAATGTAGATGTACTTGAAAATACATAGCATATATAAAGGATAAAAAATGATACAAAACTTGCCAACAATATAGTCAAAGATGTAATACAAAAAATGGTTAACAAAATGACAGATATGCTATAGCACGCAAATATGTCAGTACATCTGTTTGACCATATGTCAATGGTTTTGACATAGAGTAGTTTAGATGACTTGTATTTATACGTGATGAATTAACATATTACATCATGTCGAAATTTAAAATATAATTTAGCAACTTTTAAAATAAATCCTTACCATATATGGACAGCATTGGACAAACCACCTGAGATCAAAGACCCTATGTGGACAAAACACCTATGATCAAAGCCGGACGCAGCGCTTGTGATCAAACACCAGTTGATAGACCACCTGTGATCAAAGACCCTCTGCTGAGAAAACACCTGTGGTCAAACCCCCCTATGGTCAAACCCCCTATGATCAAACCCCTTATGGTCAAAGCACCGCTATGGTCAAAGGCCCGCTGTGGTCAAACGCCCTATGGTCAAAGCCCCTATGGTCAAAGCTCCGCTGTGGTCAAACCCCCTATGGTCAAACCCCCTATGGTCAAAGCACCTGTGGTCAAAGGTCCTAGGACCCTGTAACACATACCCCACCCCATCGCGTAATGTCGTAAACATTTAAACATGAAATTTTAGTTGAGAAATTTAAGCTATAATTCATTTACTCGGATAAACGAAGTTCACAGTTTGAATTGCTTTACAATAAGTATTTAAAATGAAAATGTATACACAAAAGAAAAAAAAACAAGCCTAGATTGTGTAGACTCACCGGAACAGGAAGTGGCCCCTTTCGTTTTGCTGTTTCCAGTTCCGTCAGTGTCCGGGCCACGAACCAGTAGAACTCGATCTGTGAAGGGTAGTAGGTCAAGGCCAAATCTGGTCGGTCTGTCAGGTTGTTCCTCACCTCGAATGTGATCAGGGATGACGTGTTCAGGTAGATTTGCTGGTGAGGAATAATATTTTTCATTGAAACAGAGGACCTCTTCTTCGTTAACCCCATGTCTTCTTCGTTCTTAATTCTAAGTGTTGGAAGGGATCGAACTCGAGACTTTTCAGTTTCGAACAAGCCGACCCCTTTCCAACACAATTAAGTATACGTGTCAACTGGCTATGCGCCATTGAGGCCATTGACTCCGATTTCAGCCTGCTTTTCTTTTTGGATTTGCTTCCATAGCCTTTGTCCAACCAAGAACAAACTACAAGGCAGCAGTTGTTTGATTTTGGAGTTGTCTCTCCTAGATGAGTGGCTGTCCTCGGGGTCTGCCCGAGGGTTCGAACTCGAGACTTTTAGGTTTAGCAACCACGCCGACCCCCTGTTTGCCCTATGTGTCTTAGGCACAAACGGGAAAAGATAATGGTGATATTATTTATGTATAAAAATCGTATCGATGAGACGGCGTGGCCTAAGCGGTAGAGCACTACACTGCTAACCTGAAAGTCTCAAGTACGGGTACATAACTCATGTTAGGGAAAGTAAAGTGCTCATCGAACCTTCTCTTCATATGCCGAGGTCAATAAACATATAAACTCTACTTCATCTGCCCCAATGGATCGATAGGTCTAAAGATGATTCTGTACTTTTTATAGACAGCATCGACATTTATTATCTATTTATGCCTATAGCTATTCAATGTGTTCTAAATACGATTTAAGTGTTGGATTAACAGGTAAAATAGAAACATTCCGTTTAGACCGATATAATGAATAGATAGTAATTACAGTTGTTATTTAACTCGTAATGGATTTAATATTAAAAAAAACAACTTTGTATTTCCCACAAACTTTAGTGAAAATTAGCATTTTGCTGATGGGTCACCACGATAAAAAAATAACTCTTGTTGAATATTGTAATGCTACTGTCGGGAAACTACGACCCCCCAAGTGTCCACACCCCCGCCCGCAGAAAATTTAGTCCTCCCCCCCCCCTCTCCCCCTCCCCCGAAAAGATCAAGTGCCCCATCCCACCTCCTCCCCCCCCCCCCCCTCGTAGAAAAAGACCTGAAAGAAACACTCTACAACCCTAACAGCCAAAACAATAACTTCTGATCCCGATATAACTATGACGTCATTACCTCTAGCTCCGGGTCTCTTAAAACATCTGGGCTGACCAGGCCGGAGAGTATGGATGACGTCATGCCGTAGATGGTGTTGGCAGAGACTGTGACGTCAACGTTATTAAGCTGGAAGGGCATGTTGACCCCTAGGTAGAACATGGTCCGCACCTCTTCAATGGACTGGATCTGTTGGAGAAAGTTCTTTGGTCAGTTTCATGTGATGAATGGCGCATTTATTTTAGCGTTAAGCATTTAGTAAAATCAGTCACTAATTTATAGCCACGGCTGGGTAGTCAAGTCACCATTATAAATATTTTGTCACCATTTTTATTTATATAACATGCACGTCACCATATTTTTAAAATGTATTTATTCAGTTTTATGGGGTGGAGTGGTCTAGCGGTAGAGAGCTGGACTGCTAACCCGTAAATCTCGACTTCGAATCCGGGTTCAAGCCATGAGACCGTCCCTGAGTCCACCCAGCTCTGATGGGTACCTAACTCACGTTAGGGAAAGTAAAGGCGGCTGGGCATAGTGCTGACCACACTATCCTTTCATATGCCGAGGTCACAGAAACAAGTGAACTCTAACTTTTTTTGAAATCACCGATGTCATTTAAAAATGTTGTCACACGATTACTAAAGTTCTACCTACATAACTTTTAGATTGTTCTTGATAGTGTTTTAAAATTCTATTGTCACAGGTAACAACTATTTTCTCTCTTAGGGACAGTCTCCACCATTCAATGGGGTGGTTAACATATTCTTAAATAGAAGGTTGTTTTCATTGCCCTACCCATGACTAGATGAGTAATTCTCTTTAATCTACTTTTGTCGACCTAAGGTGTTAGAATTAACTACCATATAGCAAGACCACATATGCTGTAAATCGAAAATTTGTAGCAAAGTATACGAACATTGTATGTGATTCAATCTAATTATCAAATATTTTTTGAAACTCTCTAATTTTTACTAATCATCAATTTTTTTTTAAAAATCAATTTTGTTACCAAAACTACGGTTTTTAATAATTATCCCAAACAAGTATTTTCCAGTAAGATATTTTGTACTGAGATATTTTGTCTCAGATCTTTTCTTTGTGAGATAATGTGTCCTGATACCTTTTGTCCAGAGATATTTAGTCCTCATAATATTTTATAAGGGATATTTTAACTGAGATAATATGTCCTGATACCATTTGTCCTGAGATATTTATTCCTCATAATATTTTATGTGGGATATTTTAACTGAGATCATTTGTCCTGATACATTTCGCCTGTGATATTTTGTCCTGTCGTCGCGTAGACTGTCCCCTTTCGTCTACTGTATAAAGTATTTTCAAACCTCTAAAACCTACCCATGTTGGTACCAGTGCCACTTCTTTGCCTTCTGACCGAGCCTGGTCCAAAAATTTCCTAATGTACAAATATGTCCTGGGGTCGATTGTGTTTTGATTGGGATCACTGGAGAAAGGTCTGTAGGCGTATTTCTTTAAGGCGTCGATTGCTGGTTGGATAAAAAGAGCAGCATAAATGATTTGAATTATGTAGAATCCAGTTAAATTGTGAAGATTACTTTGAGTCTGTATAGATTACTAGCAAATTTTACGAATAACTATTTGGAAACTATAAGAAAATAAAGGTGTGGAAATACAAAAACAGCTTCTTTTTAATAACGGTGTTTGTGGTAGTTTAATGACTGGGTGGTAGACGGAATGACTTGTAAAGGAAAACATTATTAATCACTAAACAGGTCTAGACGTGACAATATATAAGGAAGGTAAGCTAGCGAGAACCCCAACAAATAAGTAAACAAACTATCAAACTAACCAGAAAATCAAAAAAGTACATAAACAAACTGTCAAGATAACAAAAAAAAAACCAACCCAACCAACCCAACCAGCTAACCAGATTATCAAACACATCCAAAACTGCACGGTGAAGTAAAGTTCGTTTTACCGGAAGTGATGTTGGTGTTCTGGGAACTCCACAGCTGCCAGCCAGTCTGGAACTGGTCCCTCATCTGGTACAGCAATGACCCGAGACCCAGGTTAACAAATGTGTCGTCAAAGTCTGGCGGGATGTGGAAGGCACGTACGAATATATCCCTTAGGACACAGAAATATTAAAGTGTTAACCTTTACTGAAAATAGTTTATCTGTTTGAATACATCCTTTTAGACACAAAAGTATAAAATTATTAACCGTTAATGAAAATAGTTCTAGCCGTACGAATACATCCTTTTGGACACTAAATTATGAAATTGATACCCTTTACTGAAAATAGTTCTAGTCCTAGGGTCATGAATGACAATAAAAATACCTTAACCCTAAAAGTTAATTAAGGCGCTTGAGTGAAACCCCCAGGGAAGGCGGAAGAGAGGACCCCCAAGACAGACCTGGAGGCGGAGTCTTCTTGAAGAACTGAAGCCAACAGGGATGAGTTGGGAGACGGCAAAATTAATAGCCGGGGATCTGATGAAACGGAAGGAAATGGTTGAGGCCCTTTGTTCCATAAGGAGCAAAGAGGACTAAGTCAAGTAAGTCAAGTCTAAAAGCTAATTGGCGCTGACCAAAAGCCCTTAAGTTAACAGAGTTTGGTGCAGTAAAAATAAACCTAATTCCATATTGGCTTATTGGAGAAAAAAACGAGAATGAAAAAGTACCTACTGTATGAATCCCAAAATTAACACAATTAGTGTTTATAATAAAGATTCTTTTTTTTTTACTTATTGTATACAGAGTATTTAGGAATTATTGGAATCGTGCGAATAGTCGCTTTCATGCGTCGTAACAAAACAAAACAGTTTTGCAATCGTTTCTGTATGTCTGTCTGGTCGTCTGTCTGTCTGTCTGTCGTCCTGTCTGTGAGTGAGCACCCTCTCCGCTTGGTGACGTAATTTCATCAAGTTTTAGATCCTAAACTTGTGTTCGTTTTTTTTTTAACGTTTTAGGTCTTTAATGTAACCAGACGTAGTACTTCCCTCTGTTTTATGAATTTTAAAAATCTCAGGTTTTCAGAATTTTATGTCGTATTTTCGTAAAACAGCATATTCTAGGAAATGTAATCGCCTCTGTGTTTTCTCAAAAAACAAACAGTTTTGCCACAAAGTTACCACCCATTTCGATAGCCCTGTTCCACTGGAAGTTTAAGCCCACAACATACAAAAATATATGAGAAAGTGTAGGGGAGATAACTCCCGTTTTTTTCCCTTAATATCAAATGCTGGTAATGCTTTGTCTCCCTTATTTGTTATAAACAACTGATTATTTTATAAGGTACAAAAATCTCAACACATACGAAAAAAATGTGTTTGAACCTACCGCGATTCTCGTATGATATACAAATGAACCGCCTGCCCTATGCTTAGAGTACATCAAATATAAAAACCTTTATAATAACAAGCATTTTAATGCACTAAAGAATGAAAATAAATTAACGTCTTTCTTTAATAAAAGCTTTGGTCGCTCGTAGGATCTCTTACAAATATTAACGACCAAATATTTTATTAAAGAAGCGATTTTTATTTGCTGTTTCGGTTGTTGTTTTTTTGTTTGTTGATATATTTGTTTTATTTTCCACTTTTTCATACTTCGTTCGTACTGAAGTTGATACCAAATAGGATACGAGTGAAAAACATTCGTGGTAAAACTCGATCAAATGCTTGCAATCTCTAAGATCACGGTCATTTGCCCCTTGTTAGTCCATGGTCGACACTTAGACACAAAATCACTTAGCCGTGAATAAAATAGTTTACTATTTATGGCCTACTCGCTAGTATTTAATCTTGTTATCTCCCTTTTATTATTGAATTTAGTAATCTTTTTATTAAATTTTAAATGAATAACTTAATGTCAAATAATTCGATTAAGAAATGAAGATACGTGCACTTTCTCAGAAGATAAGTGTATATGAAAAATTTGAAAGAAATCGCTGCATTAGAAGTGGGTCAAAATTGAGTTACAAGATTTGCCACAATTCCACAAAAAAGCAAACAAACAAACAAACTGATTAAAAACTTTTATAAGGTCTAAGAGTTACAAACATTGCAACAAACTCGCGGGGAATAAAACAACTGTAAAAACTATTATCGTAAACTCACTTTTGATTTAGTATGAGTTCTATATCTTTAGCAAGGTTGTTCAGGCCGAAAATTTTGAGAATTTCTTCTAGCGTGTTCAGAGGTAAGTCTCCTATCATCTGGAAGACGCCCTGGTAAGGCAAAGGTAAAAAAAAATAAACTGTTAAAAATGAAAGATTGTAAGTATAATAAACGGATTTGAATGTAATGGTTTGCTTGATGATCAATAAAATATACTGTATATCTTAAAATAAGAAAACTGCATTATTTTTTTTTAAGTACTCTTCAGAGGCGTAGCGACCCCTCCCGGCGTCCGGGGACAAACTTTCGATTTGCACCCCCCCTCGAACTTTTCATTTGCACCCCCCTCAAACTTTCAATTTGGCGCCCCTCCTAAGGTCGGCGCCCGTTGACATATGCCCCCCTGCCCCGCCCCCCCCCCTCGCTACGCCTCTAGTACTCTTTTTAAAAAAAGCATGTTATAATAAATTATAATGATATTGAAAATGTGAGGTTTTTTATTGCCTTTTTAAAGAGGGGAATAGGGGGGGGGGGGTGGGGGGGGGGGGGTACATATATACTAAATTTTGCGTGACATCATCTATTGACAACAATTTACTTATATAATGTGACCAACAGTTGTGTCTTTAACGACATACGAAAAGAGTCACTCTCTGATGTGACGCCTATGCAGACTGACGCAATTGACTGACGCTCTAGTTAAGATACAGATTTGAACCGAGTGCGTCCAGTGTATAGCCGTTACTACAAGCCAGAAAAAACCATACCACTATGTGTAAAATTTTAGCGATGTAATAAATCAGTACTAGTATTTTTTGTTTTCTCTTACACAATTTTTTAAAAGTAAATAATCCTCTTTAGACCTAGTGAACCATTTCATGAAGTAGAGTTCATATGTTTCTTGACCTCGGCATATGAAGGCTAAGGTGTAGTCAGCACTTTACCCAGCCACCTTCACTGTCCTTAACATAGGTTAGGTACCCATCAGAGCTGGTTGTGCTTAGGGACGTTCTATTGACTTGAACCCGGATTCAAACTCGAGACTTTCGGGTTAGCAGTCTAGTGCTCTACCGCTTAGGCCACGTCTTCCCATAACACAATTACTTAACACACACACACACACACACACACACACACATATATATATATATATATATATATATATATATATATATATATATATATATATATATATATATATATATATAAGCGTGAGTCTGTAACATAAGTGAAATATGTACAATTCATCACAAGAAAAAAAAAAAGGTAAACAATGATTTATCGATCAAAACATACAAGGAGAATAGTGGCGTAGCAATGGAAGGGGGTGCGGACCGCTCCGGGTGACACCATTTAGGGGGGGGGGGTGTGACACCATGGCAAAAAAGAGCAAAATATATAGAGAAAAATGATAATTCCACTTTAAAAAGTAATTAATTCGAGTGCTAAAAAGTCTTTTAAGAGCAAATTTGACAAATCCCGACAAGGGTGGAGGGGGGAGGGGGTGCTAATCGAAAGTTTGAGGGGGGGGGGGTGCACATCGAAAGTTTGAGGGGGGGTGCAAATTGAAAATCGTAAGCTTGTCACCGGGCGCCGGGAAGGGTCACTACGCCTCTGGGGGGTGACACCATTAAGTGCCGCACCGGATGACACCCGACCTCGCTACGCCACAGCAGGAGAGTAACTTTGTTTGGTATTTAAACATCGTCTATGAATGATTTTACACTCTGTGATGATGTAATAGGGGATGGTAATAAAATGTCAAGGTCATAGCTTAAAAAGAAAATAAATTTGGCTGCTAATTTAAGTTTTACGTAGTTTTTTTTAATGCTTTATTTTTTGTAAACCACAATTTTTTTTAAATTCGTTATTTTGTCGAATTTGTATGCGAACTGTCCTTGTTTTCTGGCTTATATCAACTTAGCTAGATAAAAAAAATAAACCGGGAGTGATCTCCCCTAAACTTTCTCGAATATTCTTATATAAAACAACAGGGGATGGGAACTCGGGCTATAGACATGATTTTTAATCCATTTTAAATACTTAAAGTTTTAAAAATAGAATAAAATCTCGTAGACAGATTAATTGCACACCAAGTGAACGCCAAATAAAAACGCGTATAATAGTGCGCAATATTATTAGTACTTTAAAAATTTACATTAGTTTTTTGAGAAATCGGAAGTAGCGTAAATTACTACTTCCAGTCAACGGAAATTACTCAAAATTTAACAGAAGTTAGAGAATTAGATCTTTTACTTACATGTGAAATTTTATTTATCTATATGAAATAGTACTCAAGTTATAGGCTTTTGAAAAATTCAAAGTAGGAAAAGTACCACTTCCGGTTATCGGAAATCGCTCAAAAGTTGATACGGATCTACGATTTTGATAAAATACTTATATATGAAATTATATATGAAATTTCATCAACCTAGCTGTAACGGTACTCAAGTTATCGTGTTTACACACGGACAGACAGACAGACACACAGACATACGGACAAGATTGCAAAATTATGTTTTTCCGTATCAGTGAGGTGTAAAACGTCGAGATTTGTAAAAATCTCGATTTATTTTTTTGCACGATTACAAGACTTTCTCTATACTTCGTATATACGAGAAAGTAAAAAGATGTCAAAATCTATAAGCTGGCTAATTCTTTGTAAAGGGAAACAACTCAACTTTTTAAAAAGTTTTACAGTATAGAGAGAGATAGACCAAAGATTTTTGGGAGTTGGGTATAAATTTTTTGTGACAATGTGTTTTAATAAAAGGCAAAGGGAAAAGGAAGTAAAATCCGCTGACAAATTAGTGGCTTTACTTTGTACCAAACCTACGTTTGAAGAACCAAACCTTATTAAAATATATTTCCGTATAAATATTTAATTTACACCATTTCTCTTATGGTTAATAAGCTAACGCCGACAGGCAAGCGTAAGAAATATATTTTATGATATATGGCCAGCTAAATCGTTGATGATGGGATATTTTTCAAGTGTACCTTTGCTCAGGAAATGTTATACAATCTACTTAAAACTAAAATCTTGTACTTGTCCTTTTATATTGTTTGCACTAACAGCAGCTTGTTGCGCTTTTAAAGAAGTTTTTAAATATTTTCGTTTTACAACATTTTTTTAGCTAGATCAAAATAACTTTCACGCGTCTCTTTTTAAGTAGCTTACGGGTTATTCCTGTAACTTTTTTCCCTCGTCAAATAAAGAAGTAAAATGTAATTTAAAAAATCGAGTTTACAGATACTTGATTTATAAATTTAAACTTCTGGAGGAAGGGGTGGGGTTGGTACCTTAGGGACCAGTGAACCATGTCCACCTTGGCAGAGGCGCAGTGAGGGTGGGGCAGGGGGTGCGGACCGTAACGGGTGACACCATTTAGGGGGCGACACAAAGTAAAAAATAGAAAAATGTAAAGAAGAAAAAATGCTTTTTGCCAGCTCCATTAATGTCTTTTAAGTACAAATCTACAATTATTACAATAGAGTGGGGGTGACACTATGACGTAAATGTTCTAACTGTAGAGAAAACATTGCTACATCAAACCGTATAATTAACAGACTATAGATAAACGATTGCAGTGATTAAAGCTTATACCCGTATGTGCCATATATTTAAATTATAGGTCTATGTAGGCAGACACAAACACACACACACACATATATATATATATATATATATATATATATATATATATATATATATATATATATATATATATATATATATATTTAATATGTTTCTTGCTGGTGTTGGGGGTGACACCACAATGTGCCGCACCGGGTGACACCCGACCTAGCGACGCCACTGCACGTTGTTTACTTGATTACTACGACACTGATTTCGCAATAAACTACTTGAGTTGCCCTCGTGGCTTGCAGTGATATCAGAAGAAAACAAATTCAAGGACATTTGGTGTGATAACATTCAGTTTTTTCCACTGGTCCTTATCTATCTCTATCGGTGTTGTGTTAAATGATGCATGTTGCTTCAGGTAAAAATAAATCACCTTGAGTGTACGTTGACCCCCCTCAGCAAGGGTGATGTAGAACACACCTCGCTGGCAGCCAATGTTTTAGGAGTGTCGCTGGACGCTTGGGGGAGCCACCGAATGAGCTCCCGTTGGCGATTTTGGAGTCGTAATCGATGGCAGTAGCCTACCGTAGACCTAGTGTAGGGTGCTCTTTAAAACAAATGTAAGCGCCAGTGCTCTTTTGGGAGATCGGAGTGCTCCGGATCATATGACCGCATGGGTACCAGGGAAGATTCTAGTACAATTTGATCGGTGTTTCGTGTAGTACCCCTTTAGTAACCCTGTAGTATCTTGTAGTTCCCATGTATTAACCCTGTAGTACCTGTGTCAAACCCCTGTGTACCAATGTAGTTCCCATGTATTAACCCTGTAGTACCTGTGTCAAACCCCTGTGTACCAATGTAGTTCCCATGTATTAACCCTGTAGTACCTGTGTCAAACCCCTGTGTACCAATGTAGTTCCCATGTATTAACCCTGTAGTAGCTGTGTCAAACCCCTGTGTACCAATGTAGTTCCCATGTATTAACCCTGTAGTACCTGTGTCAAACCCCTGTGTACCAATGTAGTTCCCATGTATTAACCCTGTAGTACCTGTGTCAAACCCCTGCTTACCAATGTAGTTCCCATGTATTAACCCTGTAGCACCTGTGTCAAACCCCTGTGTACCAATGTAGTTCCCATGTATTAACCCTGTAGTACCTGTGTCAAACCCCTGTGTACCAATGTAGTTCCCATGTATTAACCCTGTAGTACCTGTGTCAAACCCCTGTGTACCAATGTAGTTCCCATGTATTAACCCTGTAGTACCTGTGTCAAACCCCTGCTTACCAATGTAGTTCCCATGTATTAACCCTGTAGCACCTGTGTCAAACCCCTGTGTACCAATGTAGTTCCCATGTATTAACCCTGTAGTACCTGTGTCAAACCCCTGTGTACCAATGTAGTTCCCATGTATTAACCCTGTAGTACCTGTGTCAAACCCATGTGTACCAATGTAGTTCCCATGTATTAACCCTGTAGTACCTGTGTCAAACCCCTGCTTACCAATGTAGTTCCCATGTATTAACCCTGTAGTACCTGTGTCAAACCCCTGTGTACCAATGTAGTTCCCATGTATTAACCCTGTAGTACCTGTGTCAAACCCCTGTGTACCAATGTAGTTCCCATGTATTAACCCTGTAGTACCTGTGTCAAACCCCTGTGTACCAATGTAGTTCCCATGTATTAACCCTGTAGTACCTGTGTCAAACCCCTGTGTACCAATGTAGTTCCCATGTATTAACCCTGTAGTAGCTGTGTCAAACCCCTGTGTACCAATGTAGTTCCCATGTATTAACCCTGTAGTACCTGTGTCAAACCCCTGCTTACCAATGTAGTACCACTGTATTAACCGTGTAGTACCCTTGTTGAACCCCTGCAGTATCCCTGTAGTATCCCTATAGTATTCCTCTAGCACCTCTGCAGAACCCCTGTAACACACATGTAGTACATATATTGTACCCCTGTAATACCTATGTAATACCCATGTAATACCCATGTAATACCCCTGTACTACCCCCGGTTACGTATCACTGTTAGGGCTAGATTAAAAATAGTTTAGATCCTCTGAGAAAGTACGTTGTGGTTAGTCCCGTGATCTTGTTTTATTAACACGTTTTTATTAACTCAGCTTCGCGTGGATGTGTTTGTTGTTAAAATTGACATCGAAAATTAGCCCACTTCTGATTGCTCTATAGATCTGAAATTTGGCATGCAGGTTACTTTCGCCTAACAATTTCAGATGCAATCATAAAAACTAGCAATTAGAGACCGTAATTAGCTTAATTTAATTACGCCCAAAGGACCATAAAATTGAGGACATGATTTCTAAAGATACCGACAAGACTGGAGGCTTGTTGACACAGTTACTTCGGCCCCAATCGATGTGAGCGCGCTGGCCGTGATCGTATAGTGGTTAGTACTTCGCGTTGTGGCCGCGACAACCCAGGTTCGAATCCTGGTCGCTCAAGATTTTTTTAGTCCGTGTATTTATAAACACTTAGTCAATTCATACTTAATCAAGTCATTAGATAAAGTAGAAAATAAACTATATAAAAAACTTTTTTAAAAAACACGTTTTTCATGTGTAGCAACGGACTAAAAAGGAGAAAATAAAATACTTAAAAAAAACTTTAAAAAAAAAAACACGTTTTTCTTGTAGACTAAAAAGTAGAAAATAAATTTTTCTTTTCTACTTCCTCGAGCTGTGCAGATTCTTGTGATGACTGACAAAAAACGTGGGTCGGGCAGATGGGTCGGGAAATTTGATGGTGAACGTACCCACGTTTTTTGTCAGTCATCACAAGAATCTGCACAGCTCGAGGAAGTAGAAAAGAAAAATTTATTTTCTACTTTTTAGTCTACAAGAAAAACGTGTTTTTTTTTAAAGTTTTTTTTAAGTATTTTATTTAGTCTAAATTCGGATGTGGATATACATTGGTGCGAACGTGGGATTTGAGC